AAACGCAAAAACACTATAAAAAAAAAAAAAAAACACCGAAAAAAAAAAAAAAAACAAAAAAAAAAAAATATTTTTTTTTTTTTTAAAAAAAAAAAAAAAAAAAAAAAAAAAAAAAAAAAAAAAAAAAAAGATATTTAATATTTGATTTTTACTTACCCATTGTATTTCATCCATTCTGGATTTTTAATTATTTCGATTATTTTGTAAAATATCGACTAAAATTAATATTAAATTGATTATTATTAATCTGTCTTTAAATTAAATTCGTAAATAATTATTATCAATTGCATTGGTCTTTATTTCCCCATAGAAAAGAAAAAAAAAAGGAAGAAAAAAAATTCTTAGGAGACCGAATTAAATAAAATGTTTATGTGATGAAGACATAATGAGTAATGAAAAACGTTTATCTAGACGTGAAAAATTCATGCAAAATTGCTCAAATTGGATTTTGATACTCCTACATTCACGTTTTGATTGATTATTTATGACTTTAAATGCGACCTTTTAATTATATTAGTAATAGAAAATAGATTATTAATAATTGAATTATTTATAATACTTGATATTAAGTGAATATTTGAATAACTTAATCTACATATATTGGTTATATTGATAACGACGACAATGTAAATGCTTTCGCCGTAATAAATTTTACACTGTTTAGGTCACATGTTTGTGTACAAGACGTTTGATTAAATAAATTGATTCCTGAACTGGAAACTTTCGAAAATAGGGAATTACGTTACCTTGAGACCATAGCTAATAATAAAGAAGATTTGCAGGCGTGAAAAAGTGCAGATACTGTTCGATTGATAGATGAATTTTATTTTTTCAATATGAGTAAAATAACTTACTTTAAGAATAATATCAAAAATTTGAGCAGAAATGTTTTGAATTGATAAATATTTTAATATTATTCTCAGAAGTGCCATAAAAGATTATCCTTATTTCAACTTCAATGATTTCATCTTTATTATTAAGAAGTTTAAAAGTCATCTCAAAATTTTATTGAAGACATTTTTCTTTTTGTAAATTATTAGAAGAAAGAAGTGAAATGAGAGATTAATTTATATGATTTTTAGTGTTAGTATGATGTATTATAATTTTATTAAATTATTTCATTATTTCGTTTTCCTTTGTTCTTTGCACGCTTAAATATCACTTTTAATGCATTATAAGAATTATTAACTTGTCTATTATTTGTGATAAAATATAAATCAGCATTTAAGTAATATAAATTATGTAGAAGAATGCTAAAGTAAAAAAATGTTATAAAAATAAAGAATATATTTTTATAAATATTTTAGTTATTTATCATCAGTTAACTTTAATTCTTTATTAGTTGATCTTTCTAAATCTTCTAAAAGTTTATTTCAATAATGACATTACATTTGTTTATCTACATTTTAATAAATTCAAAAATTTTCATTAAACCATTTATTGATATAATATTATGTCGTTTCGACGATGTAAGAAAGTAAAAAAATAGTTAATTATGAAAAAAGTTGGAATTGTTTCTTTAGTATTTTTGATTTAAATTTAATAAATATCATATAATTAAGAATCAAAAAATGGTATAATTAATTATAATACAATAATCCTCAATCATTTTTTTAATCATACCGAAGTATATTAAATATTTGAAAACTTAGATAAAATTATCAATATTGGTGCATTCTTTTCCACGAATAAACATGAATATTTACCTTAGAAACATATACATAGCTCATAAGAATTAGAAAATGTTATATTAATGAAATATGTTTATTGGTAAATTTATCTTAGTTAAATTTAATAAAATATAATATATGTATTCAATAGATACAAAATGGATATAAGTAAAGTATAATAAATAAACTATTTTTTTTTCATTGTTTAAGTCTTTTTCTAACAACTTTAAATACTTCATAATTATCAATAGAAAATTTATCTGATGATGCTCTTATAGGTTTTTTCATAAACATTGAGATAATTACTACATTCATTATAATCTAAATTAGAAGATTCATAACCATCCAAATAAAAATTAAATCCAAAATTAGGATCACAAAAATTTCACATGGAATAAGAATTGCATATTTTTTACGTTTTACTCTGTTTATAATTGAATTTTGAAGATTTCCATTTTTTAATGAGAAAATGAAACTGTCATTTGTTTTTGCCCATTCACTCCCTTCACTATTACTGCTATCCCATAACCTCCAATAATTTCATCGGTTCCCTTAACTTTCGCTACAATAACTGTACAAGCGTGACCATGGCAAATATTCCAAAATGTTTGTGGAGCAAACCCATCTCTAGTTCCACGTAAAATCAATCAAATTTGTGGGGAATATTTGTTGTTGTATAAGTAACTACTTTATGGTCGATCCAACTAGAGATTTCTGCTGCATGATCTTCAGAAATGATAGTTGAAAAGGTTCTTTTGGTTCTGTAATCAAAACTGATCTTGTAGGTAAAATAATCGATTTTACTGGTCGATCAGGAATAAATGAATGCTGTATAATGTCTTCCCAAAGTTGTTTATCAAGAATTTTTTTATAGGGCCTGATATTATCATAAATTTCAATTTTTGTAAGATGAAAGTAACGAATATGTGGTAGACGTTGTTGTAAAGTGCTTTTTAACGTGAGAAAATTTTCCTTCGTCCATTTTTCAAGGTTTTTAGGGAGAGTAGGATTCTGAGCAGTTCCCCACTTGATGTTGTAGTCCCAAATTCATCTTCTTTCATTTGCAAATCATCTCGTTTGAGAAGTGATACTAGTACAGATTTTGGAAGAGAAATGAAAATCTGAATCAGGTAATAAAATTTGGATATTTGACTATAATATCATTACAAAAATTTTCTAAATCTTTAAAGTTTTGTTTATCAAAAATAGTTGGTAGATTAAAGAAAAATGTGTTTTCAACCAAGAAGCCTTATCTTCAATAAGAATAGTTTCTAGTTTTTTAGATCATTCTTCAAGTTCAAAATTATTAGCTGCTAACATTAAGTCAAAAATAAATCTAGTTTCTTCTTTCACTAAGTTAAAGTTGACAATACCACCATAAATATATCTATATGCATAAATTAAATAGTAATAATTAATAATTTTTTATGTCTGTCTGATATATTTTATATAAAGTAGTTAGAATAATATCAAAAATTTCATCAGAAATCTTAGGTTTAATTATTGTTTTGATATTTTTCTCACTGGGGATAATGTTTTCTAATTCTTTACGAAAATAAAGCGATCGATATTTTAATATGCTCAAGTGAGCAGTATAAGTTTTCTTATCTTTAACTTCTATAATTACATTGTGATTATCTTTGTCATGAAGGAGTTCAGTGAAATTTTGAGATAATTTATCAAAAATTGGAATGACATTGTAAATTTGGTAAAACGTAAGTGAAATACGTCTTCTTATTTGAATTTCTTATTGATGCTGCAACAAAAGGCAAATATTTGACATTTTAAACATATGGTTGATTGAGGGATTATGTAATTTGTGATAACAGATAAACAGACAATCAGATACTGAGACTAAATATTAAAATTATTTTTTTTTATTTATAAATAATAAATTTTATAAGTAATTTCCTATTTGATAACACCCACATACTGAACCTCTTTTTATATAAAACTGCACATTCTGAATACTTTGCCTGGCTAAGAATTGAATTTTGTAATTTGTGCACATCCATTGATGCTAGTGGTTGTGTCCACCTAAAACTTCATCTTTGTCTGCAACTTTTATAATTCGTTCTTAAAAATCAAATTCGTATCGGTCTTTATATCACCCATAGAATGAAAAAAATTCTTAGGAAAGAATAAAGCACCGAAAAGAGAATGAATTAAATAATTACATATCGAGGTGTTAATGTGGTGAAGACATAATGAGTAATGAAAACGTTCATTGCTCAAATTGGATTTTAATACTCCTTTTGATTGATTATTTATTAGATTATCAACTTTAAATACGACCTTTTAATTATTGGCAATAGATAAAAGATAATTAATAATTTAATTATAATAACGAAATACTGCATTTGGTATTTAACCTTTCTTTTTCATCCAAGTGAATATTTGAATAACTATTTCTATAATATCGATAACATGATAAATTTTACAATGGTCTTAGTACGGAATGTTTGCAATTTGATCTTTTGAAAAAATCTTCCGTTTTGCCTTGCCACTGTTTTACTAACACTTCAACCAAGTGTCAAAGACAATAATCCAATTATTTATTCATATCTCCTTTAGCCAATGTCAGAAAAAAAACCACATAAATATTTCTCTGAATGGAATATTTTGGATTCCTGAACGAATGTGAATTGGAAACTTTCGAAGATAGGGAATTACGTTACCTTGGGACCATAGCTAATAACAAAGAAGAATGCAGGCATGAAAAAGTGTAAATACTGTTCGATTGACGAGTAGTGTTGCTTCTTGTTGAAATGTGTGGCGAGGGACAATTTTAGTTGACCTCTATGGTTTTTTAGTTTTACTGGGTCCCAGGTAAACATATACGCAGACCTATTAGGAGGATATTTTCTTTATTTATTGGTGTCAGTGCACCATCACCATCACAAAAAAAAATAACATCTACAAAACCTCACTCAGTCATGAAGGACTGCATTGATATTAAAGTGATAGGTTTTCAATGTATTTATTTTTTTTTACAAAATTCCTTTTAACACCTTTTCCCATTTCATCAAGTTTCAGTCCCAGCTTTTGTAAACGAGATGCTATTTTTTGTTGATGAGATAGATCATTTTAGGAATATAAATGATTTTTCAATGATCCTTTAATATTTTGTACGCTAAGCTCTGTAGTCCAAGTTTACCATCAGTAAAGGCAAAGTTCAAACGTGATATCTTTGGCACACTTAAGTTTAATCAACTTGTGAGCAAGACATGCAACTGTTACAAAACCTGTCCATTTTGGTATGAGCAGAAGCTTTATTGTTTTACCTACATAATTTTTAAAAACATACCATTGCATGACTTTTGGTCAAATAAATATTTTTTTTTTATTTCCGATTCACGTATGGAAAAAATCCGAATATATAGATTTACTATCTAATTAATCTATTTTTGCATCCTGAGCCTCAAGCTCAAGAATAATCAAAAGAAAACAAACTAAAAAAACCGGGCATTGCAACTGCGCTGTTTTAATTCTATAATATAGGCACTAAACTCAGCACAATCTTTTATGATTGATTTTAGAAGCTCAGCATTCGCACTTTTCTTATTCTAATGAATCGCATTTTTTTCCATATTAATATCTGATATTATATTTAAAAAATTTATAACCCCATATCAATTGTGGAGTAGCAAATTCGAATCAAATGTGATTACATTCTGAGTAAGGCAGCAATTAATATATTTTTGTGAGATTGTCAGTCAGTGATCAAAAAAAAAGAGTACGATTTTATTTTTTCAAATCGCCGTATATAAAGTATGTACATATCATGTATATATACATTTAAGAGTCAATTGAATGATAGCATACGCAATTATTGCACCATATTAGATATACCCATGTTAAAAATCAAAGCCCGATATATGAAATAGCAAATACTTTATTATAATATTCATACTAGATAGAGAGAATTTCATAAAAAATTTTAGGAAAAAATGATCAATCGTAAGGTAGCAGAAAAGTATAACAATTCTTTTTTTGGACTTTTTGATATTCATTTTAAGAATTTGTGTTAAAGAATCAGGTCCATTATAATATAAAACTGCATATTTAGAATACTTTACTTGGATAAGAATTAAATTTTTGTATAACCACTTTTCAATTATCACCGTACCGGAATGACTATGGCACATATTCAAAAGGTTTAAGAATCGAATCCATCTCTACTCGCACGTGAAATCAAGAAAAACTCATGTGAATAATTAGTAGTGTGCATGCTCATCGGATATTGTAGTTGAAAAAAAGTTCCTTTACACAACTAGAAAAGATCTTGCAGGTAAAATATTTTATTTCATTGGTCATTCAGAATTTAAGCTATACGATTCTGGAGTTATTTATCAAGAATTTTCTTGTAAGGTTGAATTTTGTCCAAAATATCTAATATAAAGTAAGCACTGTTGTAGAGTAGTCAAAAAGTTTTCCTTAATCCAAGTCGGTAAAGTAGAATTCCGACCAGTTTCTTCCATTTGAGAAGAGATACCAAGGCAGATCCTGTAAGAGAAAATTCTAAAATTTTGTTTTATTTATTAAAAATAGTATTGCGAACTAAGAAAAAGAGTTGTTTTTAACCATGAAGTTTAAGTTTCAATAAGAATAATTTCTAGTTTTGGTCAATTCCGCAAGTTCAAATTCATTAAATAAAATTTGGTTCTTCAACATTCTCTAAGTTATTAATCTTGCCATAAATACACCCACATAAAATTAATAATTAATAAACAAATTTATACTAAAGATAAATTAAATTTTTCAAATATTTTCATTATTGAAATAGTTTACTTTAAGAATAACATCAAAAATTTGAGCAGAAATGTTTTGAATTGTTAATTATTATTTTAAACTTCGATAATTTCATCTTTATCATTAAGAAGTTCAATAAAGTTTTGAGATAACTTATTCTTTTCTTTTTGTAATTATTAGAAGGAAAGTTGACAAAATGGGAGAATAATTTATTCAATTTTTAGTGCTAGTATGACGTATTATAATTTTATTAAGTAATCAGTTTTTAATGCAATAAGAATTATTATTTGTGATAAAATATAAAGTAATATAAATTATATAGAAGAATGCTAAAGTAAAAAATATTATCAAAAATAGAGAATATATTTTTATAAATATTTTAGTTTATTTTTAATCAAAAATTTTATGAATACATTACATTATGTTTATCTACATTTTAATCCATTTTACACATTTCGAAGATACAAGAAAGTAAAAATATTTAATATGAAAAAGATGAGTATTTTTAGAATTCTTTCAATAAATATCATGAAATTATTTTATAATTAAGAAATCAAAAAATGGTATAATTAATTCTAGACACGTTGATACGACCATCTTCAATCATTTCTTAATCATGCCGAAGTATATTAAATGTAGGCAGAAAACTTAGATAAAACTATCAATATTGAAGCATTCTTTTCCACAAATAAATTCCCCCCACAAGAACTTTAAAACATAAATATTTATGTTAGAAACACAGCTCATAAGAATTAGAAAAATGAAATAGGTTTACAAGTAAAACTTACTAAACTGGTAAATTTATTATACAGTATGTAGCAAATAACAAAGTGATCCGCAAAATTCCGAATTAACTCACGTGATCATACTTTGTGAACCGAATTCACGAAGTGATCTGCAAAATTCATGTGAGAAAGAAAATAAAGATTCATAATTTTCGGAAATCATGTCTCTCTATTCAATTAACCCATACAACTAATTCTGAAGATAAGCTAAATGAGGATATTAAATCTTTACCGGAAATTGAGGTAAGTGTACCCGATAATGATGAGGATGGGTCAAAGGTATTGGAGACCGGGTAAGTAAACCATTCACGCCTCAGGTAAGCAGGCCAAACCGAGTTCCGATTTCTAGGACTGATCCAAATAAAATGGAATGCCTTTATCAGTATGCCATTGAACATGGAGAAGATCTTGAACAATTTTCGGTTATTACAGAGGCTGAAAAAAGAAAATGAGATTATGAATGTTTCAATAATGAGATGAAAAGGGATATGCGTATATATCAAGGAGCAGTAAATCGTGGGGAAGATCCTAAAAAATATTTAAAATTAACAGATCAGGATAGGTTAATTGGTGAGGAGTTATTGCGGCGGAATATACTAAAAAACATTTAAGTACTGTATGGGTTAATGACCTTATGAAAAAATGGAAAAAGTTAAATCTGATTTTAGAATTCAGATAGAAGCATAGTAGTAGAAGCATAATTATAAATAAGTCTTCACAGATATTAGCAATGATAATTCCTTTGATAATGATGACGATGCGGGATATTACTATTATTTAAGCAGCAGAAATAAAACATATAAAAAAATCATTTAGACTTAATCTTTACCTGAGGAATTTGATGAACGAGCAGAAGGTGACGAAGCATCGCTTTATTGGTCAGATCCTTTCCTATTCATACCCAGGACAAGGGAGTATCGCTGATTGATTTCGTTTTGGAGTAATGTGATGGTTTCGAATTCATTGGCAATTTGATTAAAAACCATTATGCCAGGTTTATAGAATCCGGTTGATTTGTTATACTTCTTGGTCACATCATCAATCACGGTAAGAATATTCTGTGCTTCCGTTGCATAATTAGCATCACGGGAATTTATTTTTGCGGTAAGATCGTTATTAATTTTGGCTCTGATCTTACCGATTTCTTCAACGATAGTGGTATTGATCTTGGTATCACGAGAGTTTGTTTCATCGGCAATTTTCTGCCTGACATCACACAAAAAGAACCACATGGCGATGAGCCCTACGCAAAAGGGAATATGTAAAGTGTAGAAGATGCCAGAACGATCTTAATTTAATAGTAATGGAATCATAGCAATAAAAACATATATTACAAATATGGTATTAGCGTTTTTTTTTTTCTTGTATAAATTTATTAATAGCAACGTTGTATTGCGTAATCGAAGATAATCAGCATCATCACACAAACTAAGATTGAACGTTAATTCAGTTTAGTTAGTGAGTTTAGTTAGTGAGAAATTATGTAATGCTGATAAATACATGGATCAATTTCATAAGGACGACCATCTATCGCGTCGACCGAAAATGAACACAATGAAGTTTAAAAATAAAGTTAGTATTTTATTCAATAATTAACTTGCGTAATCAATACCCTTTTTTGTTTGATCAGTTATAAATTACACTACCCTCGTAAATCGGGTCTCAGTTATTATCAAATTAATCTATAATCGATTTGCGTAATTTTTGATGTGACAATATGATATATACTTCATTTTTATAAAATCAATATTTGCTGAAACATTCTGTAAAAATTTATGAAATTTTCTGAATGTTAAATTTTTCGTAAATTTCGTAAATTCATATTTTGAAAATTTTTTATAACGTTTTCTTTAAACAAAATATTTTAGCAAATATCGATGTTACAGAGACAAAACATAAATTATCTTGTAACCTTGAATGAATTACTTCAATCTATCATAGAAATACCTTAGTAGAAATCATTCCTTGTTACATAAATCATGAGCAAAGTCATAAAACGTAAATAATTTTGAAAATTTATGTAGGTTCTGAAACTTTCAAAAACATTCACATATAAAATTTCCTGATGTAAGTATTTAGACATGGTTCTTTTATTTGAACTTTGCTGTTTCGCAATTGATATATGGTTATATATTTTAAATATAATATCAAATATGAAAAAAACATGCAATTCATTAGAACAAGAAAAGTTTGACTTTTGGTTAAAAAAGTTGAACTTGAGGTTAAGAATACCAAGTTTAAGGTTGAAAATACTGAGCATCTAAAATTGATCATAAAATATTATGCTAAGTTTGCTATCTATATTATAGAATTCAAACAATGCAATTTGTAATATCCAGTTTATTTTGTGATTATTCTTGAGCCTGAAGCTCAGAATGTAAAAAATAAATTAATCATAGAAAAATATTCACTAAGGAAAATCACAAATTCTTGACTTGTAAAGGTCATAAAATGTTTATACTCAATTTTTCCATATGCATGGCTTAATTGCTTTTTTGGTATGAATTGGAAATAAAGAAAATATGAAAAGTCACAGTGGTTTAAAAAATTACGTAGGTAAAATAATAAGATTTCATCCAATTAATTTTTAATTAAATTAGCAGATATATAAAAGTTATTACAAAAGTGCAATCCAATTAAATTTGATTGAGACAAGGGATAGGCTTAGAAGAGAACATTGCAAAATTTGCAGAGCAATAAAGAAAAGCTGAACTTATTGCAAAACTGAATTATGATATTGGGAGTGAATTGTTTGTTTAACAAGCTGACAATCTTCCATTTATTCAAAATACATGTAACTTCGAAATCATAAATACTCTGTCAAGGTGCAAGGTGCTAACCTCACATATAAAGAAACTATTGAATTTATCGATTCAATGTATAAGAAAAGATCAGAAATAAGATAAATCAATATAAGATTTGAACTCAAGACTTATGACATCAGAAAATCAAATAAGACAAAATGGCCTCTGTAAGCCATTATCATTACTGGATCAAGATAATATTTTAGTCAATCAGATATATTGAGAATGTTATCAAATAAAGAATTTTATCTTTTTATTTCAGAAATTGATTTGAAAAGAATAATGAATATTGTGATTACCAATTAGTAAAATTTCCAGATTTAACATCTATAAAAAGTTGCTATATTGAACGGTTTAACTTGTGATATTCAAAAAAAAAAACTATTTATAAGTTTCCCAATTAGCCTAATTTAAAGTTAGTATTAAATTAAAATTCATAGGTATTTAATAATAATAAGGATAGATTGTAATATAAAATATTTAAATTTGAACCGTAACTAATAATATAGTATTTGTGTTACAATATTTATTCTTTTTAGAAATATAAATTTTGTTGGACAAAATTTGATACACAATAATTAAGAACACAAACATACACAGAATTATTTAATTTTGTCTAACACAATTCCCGAAAGAGCAAAAAAAACTAAAAATATAAATAATATATACTGTATATATTCATCATCAATGATATTATAGAAATATGGCGTTGAACTTAAATATTCTGATAAAATAAAGTTCATCAATTGATATTTCCAAAATAAAATAAAGTTCATCAATTGATATTTCCAAAATAAAATAAAGTTTGTTAAGCAAAAAAGATGAAACAGGGAAATATTTATTTTTATCATTTCACGGAGAGAAACTTCATAATCATAAATTTGTGAAATATCGCTTCTTTAATTATCTTCTATAATAACAGTCTTATTAAAGTTTGTTAAGCAAAAAAGATGAAACATAAGGAAAATATTTTATTTTATTATTTCACAGAGATTTCGTAATCATAAATTTGTGAAATATCACTTCTTAACTTCTTTAATTATCTTTTATACTACTTATTACTTATTATCACTCTTATTACAATATTATCACTATTTCGTATAACTAAGATTTTTTGCCGAGTATGTACTGTACAGTAAATTATATGCAAGTTGTTGTAGATCAAAAACGCGTATGATCTCATTTATGATTATTTACCTTTTATAAATATGGCGCTTATGCATTTCTTTTTTCATTTTTAACTTCTCCTTTTATTGTATGCTATATATGCAACGTTTAATAATTTTTATCTTTTTGATAAAAATTAATAAAATACTTTTTTAACTTCTTAGGGGAAGGGGTAGATTGCAACACAAAAAGAGAAAGAAATAATAATATTAATTAAATTTAAAAATATAATTAATTAAAAGATTATCAGATCCGCTGATTCAACAACAAAAATATAAATGTACGTTTATTAGAAAGGCATTATTAATGATGATTATTATTACAATAACGATCATTATTATGTTCTTTTAAACTCAGAGAAAAATAATAATTTTAATTAAATTTAAAAAAATGGTTAATTAAAAGATTATCCGTTCATTCAACAACACAACAAAATATAAATGTACGACCTTACTGTTACACGTTTATTATTACAACCTAGAAAGATATTGACAATAATTATTATTATTACGGCCTAGAAAGGTATTAATAAAGATTATTATTGCATTCTCAGTGAAAACTCAGGAGATATTTATATTAGTCATAATCGAGATCCATTCATTCGATATTCTACAGCCAATTATCTAATCACAAATTTCATAAATTACATATGTTACATATTTTTAAAATTTAATAATAAAAATAGGAGTCATGCATGAATAATGAATCCTTTCTATCTCTTTATATTATTTAAATATATTGAATAATAATAAAATACGTTATACTAGAGATTTTACCAGTTTTGTAATTTATACTCTTTATTACCGTTAATAATTATTTTAATATTTCTAAACGCGTTGACAATTTTTATATTTAAAATAGTAAGAGTATTTATTCATGTAATTTTATCTTGAAAAATGTGAATATCAATAATCAATATTTTATTACTAGATATCATGTCACATTGAAATAAAATATACATTAACACAACATATTTAATATTTAACATTTAAACATATTTATAAATTTAAAAACAAAGAATTCCTATTCATAAAATTGTGATGATAATAAACTAAAATATTTATAATTATAATATTTTATAAAAGTATATGCTATTTACTTTATAATTTATATACGTTTGACTAAAAATATTGATATCCATTTTATTATTTCGTCAACCCTTTTTTTTTCCGACCAATAATTTACAAAAAAGAAAAATTTCTTGAAAATTTTTTGACAAGTTATCTCAAAACTTTTATTGGACTCATTAATGATAAAGAAGATTATAATGTAATCATTAAAGTTGAAAATAAGGAAAAATCTTTTAAGGCACTACGATCGTCCTATTTCAATTAAATGGGAATAATATTAAAGTGATTACCTAGCCAAGTGTATCTGCTAAAATTTTTGATACTATTCTTAAGTAAGTTATTTTTTATAATGAAAATATTATTACATATAATTTCATTTATTTTATCATTTTATAAATCTATTTATTTTTATTATTAATTTTATGTAGATATATTTATTGTGGTGTTAATTCAGAAAAGGTTAAAACTAGATTTATTTTTTGACTTAATGTTAGTAGCTGCTGCGTGGGGAATTGCTCAGAATCAATGTTGTGTAGTGGGTTCACTCCAAAAACATTTTAAAATACTTGCCACGGTCATGCTTGTACTGTTGTTGTGGCGAAAGTTAAAGGAACTGATGAAATTATTGGAGGTCATAATCCTTTAGCATGTGATAATACTTACAATAATTATCCTTACGATGGTGGCAGTTTCAATTTCTTAGTAAAAAATGATAATATTCAAAATTTAATTCTTAGCAAAGTAAATAAATTCTCGATATACAATTTTTATTTGTATACAGTGCGGAACCTCTATAATAGGAACTTAGAAAATCTTAAATAAAATTTAATCCAATGCTCAGATTTCTTTTATATTATAGTATTTGAATGGAGGAATCCATTTAAAGAAAAAAAAATTTCTCGATTTTCTTGGTTTATGTGATCATCACATGATGCAATTTTAGCCAATAAAAATTTAAGAAAATAGATTCATGTGTTTTTATAAAATTATAAATTTCATTTTATTATTCTTAAACTTTTGTCAATGGTATTTAAATATTTAAACAGATACAAAATATCTATCATTAAAAATCCTTTTTTAAAGTAAAATTACAATAGTTAACTATTTTAATATATTCTCAAATTTGATAGGTATAATTAAATATAGGAACTTTGACTCCAGTTAAAGTTGATCAATTTAAGTCAAATCAAAATTTTAACTGATAATTCTGAAAGCTTAGGTTCTGAACTACAGTTAAAATTTTATTTCTATATATAATAAATAAAGTTTTAATACAAAAAGACTGAACAATTTTTATTATAACTAAGTTCCTATTATGGAGGTTCCGCACTGTAGTAGTAAATCTAATTTTTATTTAGATAAAGGTACAATGATGGTTATTATGAAAAACCTGTAAGAGCATTATTAATATGAAAATTGCTAAAGATCACCAGTGGTGATTGTCACCACTGGGCAGAATTAAATTTACGCGACAAAGTTAGGGTTAGGAAATATGTAATTCTGCCTGGTGGTGACAATCACCACTGGTGAGCTTTAGTAATACCCTATTAAAATATTGATGACCCATTTTTTGGATACAATTACTTTCTATTGATAATTATGAAGTACTAAAGTTGTAGAAAAATCTTAAACGATGATGAAAAAAAATGTTTTTATTCTATAAAATTTTATATCTTTATCTAAATAACTTAAAAGTTATAATTACTGTCAGCATGCATGATCAAAAAGGGAGTAACGAATTAATTATACCACTTTTTGATTTCTTAATTCGTGATGCGATATTTATTAAAGTAAAACTAAAAAATATTAAAATAATTAAGCATGCAAATAATTAAGCTTACAATACTTTCTTTTACATTCTTCGATATGGTATTATGGCATTAAATTTTTTTGATTTTATAAAGCTTTATGAAATAGATAAAATAGATATGAACATAATGTCATTATTGAAACAAACTTTTTAAAGGCCGTTCAGTAGTTTTATGATAATGATATCCTCATCTCTACAAAGGATTGGAAAAATTAACTATCAATAATGATGATAATATTAGAAACCACTAATATTTATTAAAGTTTTAATATTATTACAAAGTAAGTTCTAAATATTATAAAATATCTTGAAGCAATTTAATTGAAGGCAAATAAAGAATTTACGATTTTTATAATATCAAAGTTAATTGAATTTGGATGTAAAATTATATGCTTATTTTTGATTACATTTTTTACTTTAGCATCCTTACATAATATCTGCTGATTTATATTTCATCACAAATTTCTCTTAGGGTTGCAACTATACTTGCACGCAAAATAGGCTATCATACTAAGTCAAAATATTTTGGGATCTAAAAGTGAAATAGTTTTTCATAGAAGAAGAAATTATTTTATATAGAAGACGAAATTTTTTAAAACTTGATTTCTATTCTTTGATTAAAAATACACTTAACTTGGTACTTTTTTACTTCCATATATAAATTAGATTTTGCATAAAGTTTGAAGGGACAGTTGAATGCTGAATGATGTGTCATATGCTGTATTATATAAATCTTATAAATATTACTATGGTGTGTTTCATCTATAAACCACAATTTCTGAAATTTCATGGTTAATAACATGTTATATAAAATTTTAAAAAACAGTATCGAATAAAAAAAAAACAGAAATTGAATAAAAAATTTTTAAAAATAATGTAATATTTTAATTATTGGCTGTTATCATCTATTACAAAATCTGGAATAGTACGATGTGATTTATATTTTTTGACAGCACATTCAGCAAGTTTACCAGTAATTCCATTTCTATATAAATCCATATCCTCTATGTCTTTCTTGCAAATTTTCTTATTGTAATTATATCAACTGTATCTAAACCTTTAAGAACGGTACGCTGCAAGTCAGACCATGAATAATTACAGTTTTCACGAGTATATCTTTTTACAGCACTCCAATACCATTCAATAAAATTAAGTTTACAATGGAATTTAGGATAAAAAATGAATTTGTGACTAGCTTCTATAATAGTTTCTTCTAATGCACTTTTTTGACTTAAAAAGTCAAGTTGAAATAATTTTTCGTGCAAAACAATTAATTCGATTTTCATCTTCTACATTATTTTTACATAATTGACAATTAGAAATCAATCCATTTTTCCATAAACCACGTTCAATTAAAATTTCTTTCATTCCTTTTGGTTCACCATTTTCATTTATCATTAATTGATATTGATTATTTAATTCAAAAACTGTATCTCTCATTTTTGGTTGTTTTCTTCCAGACTTTAAATTCATTTTACTGGCAACAAGTGCATCAGATTTAAATGTTGCATGGTTTGAGCTGTTATCAAATGCAAACAATGCAATACAGTTAGGAAAAAGTGTTTCAAAAATTGGAATTGCTTTTGTTTTTACTTATTCAATTAAATGTCCACTTGTCCAAAATCCTTCTTGATTTTTTCCAGGTTGAAGATAAATATGTGCTTCTTTAGATATAGAGGGATTCTCTTGAATTTGTTGTGAATTTAATTTAAGCCTGCCACATTCTTCAGATAAAATTCACTAACCATTATTGAATGTCCATTTCCTTTTTTACGTAATGGTAATTCACCAGATTTTGCCCACACTCCTCTTTTTCCATCATTAGAATAAAATGTGCATTCATCATGAGTTACAAAAATAATTTCTTTTTCATTTGATTTCAAAATTGGTGATTTTCGTTCCATATTTTCTTCTTCATATTTTGTCATATATTTTTCATATTCAAACATTTTCTCCAAAAATAATTTTCATTGCTTTACAACATCAGGACATTCATGTCCATCATAATATATTTCTTAATGTATTTAAAAATTTAAATATATTTAAAAATTTAAATGTATTAAAAAATTATAAACAATATTTTATTATTAAATATATACCTTGCTTATGTGAAAATATTTTATTTGATATTTCGAACAATTTTGATTTTAGTTTTTATTTTCTTTACTTAAATATTTTGAACATTTTAATTTAGTTTTATTTTTACTTTTCATTCGTAATACTTTTTTTTTAATAATAATAAATAATATAGTCGCGGGACTAGCGAAGCGATAAGATACGCCAAAGCAGTAATATATCGCTATTGTTATTCTCTTTTATTTCTTTTATATTTTTGTAATAATTTCAAACATAAATTTAGTGTAGCGGAATAACAAAAGTGATAAGATACGCCAAAGCAGTAATATATTGCTTTTGTTATATCCGATATTAAACTTTAATAAAATATAATAAACTATTTCTTTTATTTCTTGGCAAGTTATATCAAAAAGTCTACAATAGTTTTGATAGAGTGCAAGTAGTTGTTAAAGATACTTTTACTCCACTTGCTCATCGTACCTTCAGATATTACATGTAATTGCATTGTTGAGAGTGTTAGTAAGCAGGTTTAAATCGACTGATTGTCTGTCTTGCTGTGTTTTAAGATATTGCGCACAAGAGAAAGTGTGTTAGTAGTACATTGAATTATCGTGTGATTGATCCAAATTTATTAAGATTGATTGACAACTTTTTAACTTTCCACTTGTTCTGCGCAGACCGTGACAATATCAAAAACAATACCTTTGCTACTTTTGCGCTTCCTCAAATTTTTTTCTAATTTATCATTCAATGCAAATTCAATGTATCCTAATATTTCTTTATCAGATATTTTTCGATTGTTTCATTTAATTTTTTCTCTTTTTCAAGTTCCAATTTATAACCTTCTAATACATACAGTCTAATGCAAAAGTCTTTGGACGAAGATTTTATTTTAAAAGGGATACGTTCCCCACTTTTTTCAATAATAAGTTAACAACGTTCATTCATTGAATTAATTAAATTTTTTATAATGTCTTGAGAAATTCTACCCATTCCTCCTTCATAAAATTTTCCAAATCTGCAATATTTTGTGGTTTTCGCATTTCTACATTTCTTTTAAGGATGGCTTATAGATTTTCAATGGGATTTAAGCCTGGACTATTGGAAGGCCAATCCATAACGGCCGAAACATTTTCTTGTAGGAATTCCTTAATTATACGACTTGTGTGCTTCAGATCGTTGTCTTGCTGGAGGCACCAATTGTTGCGCAACATTCTTTTGATCTCAGGTAGATGTGTTCTTATTATTTCAATGTAAAATTTTGACCATTCATAATATCACAAAAACAAAAAAGACTAATTTTACCCTGACTATAAAACACACTCCATGCATTAATTCTTGTTTGGTCTTTTAGAATACGACGAACTGGTCACTGACCTCGATACCAATATTGAACTGTGTTGCTAAACAACCAAAAAGATATTTCGTTTGAAAAAACTGTATGATTCAATCATTATTCATATACTTCTGTGACATTTTTTTTTATCATAGCCGTGGTCTTTCAAATACTGCAATACTGTATAGTAGGATACATTGGTACCTTTTTTAATAATATGGATGACATCTTTCAAGAAGAAATAGCCTGATTTCTTCTAATGTACTGCCCAATTGCTTTTGGGTTATTGGAATCAATTTTTTTAGGTCAGCTGGAACGTTATGCTCCCAGTTTTTTTTTTTTTAGTTTTTTTATATTATAATATACTGTTGATCTCGAAATATTTGTTCTGCGTTGAATTTCAACAGCATTTTTAATTCCATTATGCCATAAATGTTATATGGTTTGTGCTTCGGTGTTTTTGATGTTCTTCCTTGGATTAAAAAAATTTTTTTTATTTAAATGAAACCGTTAAAGGATCAGTTGATGGGTCAGACGACATACTTTAATGCAATGCAAAAGCATGATCTGTAATAGTTAAAATTAGTGACTTGTGTCACTTTTAATTTTAATGATTTTTGTCCAAAGACTTTTGCACCGGAACTCCCGTTTTATTTTATTGTACCATATTTGATTAATTTATTGAGATTTTTTAATGAATAAATACTGCAATTGTTTCGGGAAATACAAACGAATGCATTTTTATATATCAAACGTGTGGATTTTATTAATTAAGATTTTTTGTTCAAAATATTTTATTATAACAGAAAAAAATATATTTAAAGAATAGGTCATTTGAAAATTTATCGATATTGGGGTTTGAGTACAACTCCATTGACCTTTTTTCTGCTTCTTCGGGGGGGGGGGGGAGATAAAATTTTTATAAAAACGTCTAATTATACATAATCAATAAATGTAAAATGGACGATTTTTATAGATGGATTCATCATGATAGCTTTAAAGGCAGTTATGAAGAATGGATTGAATATATTGATATGCATCAAGTTCATATAAATGAAACTCCTAGTATTGTATAGTACAATGAGATACGAATGAAGAGTGACACTGGTATCTTGAAGTATAACGATGCTCCGAAGCATATCAGTGCAACTACTCAACTTTACTATTCTCTTTTGACTGGTTGCCAGGGCTAGTTTGCTGGAGGGTGCTTTTGTTGTGCAATACTTGTATTGCCTTTGTCAGTGCCAAAATATTTTTTGTTCAGTATTTTCTTACTTATTTAATGACGAGTGCCAGATGGACCGGAGACACATTAAACTTTAAATCAAATTATATATAATATTAGGTGTGACAAAATCTTGTTTCCTTAGTATCTGTAGCAATTCTATCTTAATTGCTCAACTGTTGTTGTCTGTTGCCAGAGCCTTGCATTTTACCAGTTCCAGTGTGCCGCCAGTGACACCTCGATATTGTGTTGATATTTCATGCAGACTATGCCAAAATTGAATTGCAAACGAGGATTTCAACTAATTTTATTTTTTTATAATAAATTATTTAAAATACTAACGAATTTCGAATACAGAAATGGGTAGTACTAAAAAAAGAAAGCAGCAACGATAACATCGAATATTAGATGTTTAAGATTTTAATATCTTTCTACAAAATTTATTTTTATTGTTCACATTAGAGTTCTTCATAATGAAAGAAAATATACAACATTAATCATTAAAACACACCATTAATCTATCTTTTTTAATATTGTTATTTGAAAATCATTTTAACATAAAACTAAGTAATGTTAATTAATTGAACGAAGAGAACGATATGGTATGACAATCCAAATTTTTCAGATTTACCAAAGTAACAATTCCAGTATTATCAAAAGATGGTAATAAAATTATTCTAATAGGTTGTTTACCTTGACCTATTTAATAGAATTTAAATATAATTAATTTAATTGGATTTTAATTGAAAAACAATATTTAATAAAGTTTGATAATCAAATTTTACCTTCGATCATTTTTGTAGCAAACTCTGGCTGATTGCCAATAAAATAAACTTGTGGTGCTTTATTTATTATAAATGGATCGAAATCTTGGAAAGGATAACACCCTGAAATTAAATTAATTTATTGAATTGTTATTATTGATTTTGTGAATAATAATAATGAATGAATTGTTTATGTAATTACAAAGTGTATCAGGTGCAGTGGGTGCAAGGTGTCTCCAGTGTAATGTTTGTTCGGCAAATTTAAGTCTATCTTCACTATTAATATATTTATATATATCATCAATTGTTTGACCAGAAGTACCAAGAAATCTATTAATAAAAAAAAAAAAAAGAGAATCTTTAATTTAAGCCTTTAATAAATCTTTAATATTTATAAGAAGAATGAACTTGAACTTACATAAAATTATCCAACTCACACCAGTATGGATTTGTTACACTATTAAAAGTGGAATGTTTATTAGCTTTGGGAAGTAAGTTTTGTATAATTGGTTGTTGTGGAAAAGTTTGATTAGTTGGATCGTTGCATCCTGGCATTATATCAACTGGAATAGTCAAACATATTTCATTAAGGATATTATCTAATTCCAAACATGGTTCTGCATCATATGTTGAACTATCGTATCCATATTTTATCTATTTAAATAATTTAAATAACAATTAAGAAGAATTGATTAAGAATTGATTAAGAATTGATTGAGAATTGATTGACGATCAATAATTTCAAATAATATAATAACATATTCACCTGCTTTTTTTCATCTTCTAATATTTTAGCTTCTGATATACTTTTTCCAGCAATTATTATTCGTGCTATTTTCGATGAAAATTTTTGTTCCTAAAAATTAAAATATATAATTAAAATATATAATTTAAAAATATATAATTAAAATATATAATTTAAAAATATATAATTAAAATGTATAATTTAAAATATATAATTAAAATATATAATTAAAATATCCTTTCTTACAGTTAAACTACCAATTTCTCCAGTAATATATTCTATCATCATTTGTAATTGTAAAACTGATTTATTGGTTGCTCCAATATTCAATCCACTTATAAGTGCTATATATTTGTCATCTTTAATAAATAAAATAATAATTTAATAAACAATATCATAAATTATTAAAAAAATAAAATAAAATAAAAAAAGAATAATTTATTAACCTGTATTCAATTGAATTGGTTTTGGTTGTTGCGGTATTCCTGCAAAACAAATATCACGCACTTCAAATTCTCCATCTGAATTTTCTTTTCCTAAAACTGCCATTATCACTCCTAAATTTTGACAACTATACTATTATAATTTCTAAAATCTTCACCTTTTGAATTTCAATTAAATTTATTTTATTTTTATTATTATTATTATTTTTTTAAACTAACCCGTGATAATCATTTCTTGTTTCAATATTTCCCCTGTCAATTTTATCCTTCCTGATTCATCTTCTACTGAAATTTCATCATTTTCACTACAATATTTTGAACGAGATTTTGGTGTAATATGACATTGCTATATGAATGACGCGCGTAATTTTGTAAATTTATTTGTTCATGAACACAAAAAAAAAATGATAATAAGATTTATCATATATTCAACTCACTTCTCTAGTAACATCTTCAAGAATATTTGGTTTAAATTGCATTTCGATATAAACAGTTCCAATTATGTAACAAATCTCTTCGGATTTTATATTTAAAATTCTATCAACATAATTTAATTCTTGTCCATTTACTATTGATAAATAATTGATAATAATTAATAAATAGTAGGACCAATTAGTATTAGTATGTAAATTCGGAATCTTTATATATATAAGTTATTCCACAACTTTTCACCTGCGCGTTCTGTTTCCCATTTTTCTTGTGCGGCCTTTAATACAATAGGTCTCATTTCCATTAATCTTACATAATATAAATTTGCATATTGTTGACGAAAGGACTTTTTTCCCAAAATTAATTTATCTCGAAACTCTGGCATATCATTATATGAAACATTAACGCGACTAGGTGATATCGAATAATTATTATGAGTTGAAGTAAATGATAATAAATGGTCTGCCTGCCTAATAATTATTAAATTTAATGGAAAAATTAGTTATCTGGATACATTAATAATAATAAAAAAAAAATAAATAAATAATTATTATAATATTTACATTTTTAAAGTCGATGAATTTTTTCAATAATAAAAAATTTTTTCTTCCCTCCTTTAAATCATTTAATCACGTGACTAAGTAATGAAAAATTTATGGAACATCCGTGAAAAAAAAAAAAAAATTCATTTTCGAAAACCTTTCCTTACCACTTTAAGGCTTGTTTGATTTAAAATCTGATAGAAACATATTGAGGGACTTTTGTGAGTATTCTCTGTAATACTATGATCGGGTGGGGAAAAGTGTTTTTGATTTGAATAGCTGAAATGATATGAAATAAGGGAACGGAATTTCTTAAGATATTTAGAATTTAATTATTTCATTTCTTTCGAAAGATGACTGTTTTATAAACTTGATCTTATTTGATCAGCAAAACTTTTGTTCCGTTAATAAATATTTTTATTAAATTTAATTAAATTATTGCTTACTACAAGTATATGTATATATCTATATTTTTTTATTTTTTTTAAAAAAAAACGCTCAAGAATATATTGAAATATATCAAAGAATGTATTGAAAATATATCAAAAATGTAGCGAGAGTGTATCAAGAACATATCAAGAATATATCGAGAATATTTTGAGAATGTATTAAGAACATCTTAAGAATATGTCGAAAATATCTCAAGAGCAATCAATATTATAATATATTCTTTAAATTGTGTAAGTATTTTTTTTTTCCTTTAACGATCATTATTATAATATATTCTTTAAATTGTGTAAGTATTTTTTTTTTTCCTTTAACGATCATTATTATAATATGGGTATTTCTCTTTAACAATCATTATTATAATATAGTACACCTTAAAATATTTTTATTTCTCCGTAACTTAATATTTATTATTTTATACTTTTAGGAAAGATTAGTAAAAAAAAATAAAAAAATGGAATCATATGATTTAACATAACAAATCAAAATATTTGAATATTATGATTCCAAACTGTATGTAGTTTTAAATTATAATATAGATTAAAATATATTATTAAATTGTGTGAGATATAATAAAAAAAATACTAAATTAGTAAAACATCTTTTTTTTTTTTTATCTCGTCTATTAAGTCAAAAGGCAATATTATTAATTCAACTCTGTTCGTTAAAAAAACAGAGAACAAAAAAAAAAAAAATAATAAGAATAGAAAATTGTGTATACAGAAAGTATGAGAAATTATATATTCAAAAGAATTCAATTTTTGTCTGATAAAAATAAAAATAAAATAATTTAAAATAATTCGATGCTTTTTTTTTTGTTTTGTTTTTTAAACCTTTCGTTTCAAATTGGTACTTAACCATTCCAAACCCTCATAAAGACCATCACCACTTGTAGCACATGTAGCTTGAATATACCAATGACGCTGTCGGAGAGAATGAAGTCCAAGTTTATCGGTGATTTCTGCTGCATTCATGGCATTAGGTAAATCTTGTTTGTTGGCAAATACTAGAAGAAGGGCATCACGAAGTTCGTCTTCATTGAGCATACGTTGAAGTTCTTCTCGTGCTTCTGAAATACGTTCACGATCATTTGAATCCACCACAAAAATAATTCCCTGAGTATTTTGGAAATCTTTATGAATAGAGAAAATATTATTAATTAATTTCAATATCCCGATTTTTTTTTTTTTAAAAAAAAAAATAATATGAATAGCTATATGATATAAACTTACAGTGACGCCATAACGGTCGGATCTTATCTTGACCTCCAACATCCCAAACAGTAAAAGAAATGTTTTTGTATTCTACGGTCTCGACGTTGAAACCTATACAAATAAAAATTTTTTTATAAAAATCAAATTACAAGAAAAAAAAAATAATATATTTCAGGAATGACAAAAAAAAATATAAGTAAAAAAAATCAAAAATCTCTCTCTAAAATAAGTATTTGAATATTTTGTTAAGTCAGTATAGTCAACTCACCAATAGTGGGAATAGTTGTAACAATTTCACCCAGTTTAAGTTTGTATAAGATGGTGGTTTTACCAGCCGCATCCAACCCTACCATCAAAATGCGCATCTCTTTCTTGCCAAAAAGGCCTTGAAGAAGTTTAGAGATTGAAAGTCCCATGGTTGCGTGTGATGTTCAAGAGATAAAAAATTTATTATTATTTTATGTAGTTAAGTCCAGAAAAATAAATAACCTAGAGTAAGTTCTTTTATAAAGTTTCCGCAGATAAAGATGAAAGAAGTGGTGTTGCTATTAAAAAATGTGTACAAAAGTAAAAAAAACCCAACAAAAGTGAAAGTAAAGATTTGGCCTGATTTTAGTGGTCAATTGATGAGGCGGTTAGTGCGGCGCAGAAATGGCGCAAACTCCGCGTAGTAGAAGTTCAATTAACTAATAACTAATCAGGTGAAAAATCAATTAAATCATTATATCATTATCTACTACTATGACTGTTGTTCGTTTCACATCGTTAATTTCTTGCATTGCATATTTTATTATTATTTTTATTTTTTTTTGTGGCTATGGTACACAGTCGACAGGTTTTTTTACGACATTCATTCATCATCATTTTCCGATTTTCCGATTCTCTTTGCTGCGATCGGATGATTTTTTTTTTGTCCGTCATCACAATTAAATCTATTTAGAAATCATCCTAAAACGAGAAATTTTTAATATAAAAAACAAAGTGGTTTATTTTTCTTTTTTTGATCACAATCATGATTTTTACATGTTACTTTACCAAAATAAATATACCATGTGATTTTCCATCACGAACTTCTTAATTAATTGATACATTATATATTAGAAATTATTGAAATTATTTTTTTTTTATAAAGTAATATTAATCTAAAGTAATCATGTCTCAAGAGTTCCTATAAAATATGAGATGAGATTTGTAAAGATAAAAATAATAACGATAAGAAAAAAGAAAAAAAAAAGAAAAATTTGTGGTGCATAGACTTAAAAATAAAAGGCATAAAAATAAAGGTCATATAAAAAAAATTATTTCGTAATAAAAAATGTATCTTAAATGACATAGACTTTTTTTTTACATAAAATTTAAATTAAATTAAAATTAATCAAGTTATTAAATAATTTATAATAATTCTTCAAATTGTTGTGGAAAACATTGTAAATAATATGGATTCATGTTATCAATTATATTTTCATTTTGATACCAACCATTTTCAAAAAATTCTTGAAAATTTTGTGGCGGTGGCATGGTATCATTATAAAAATATGATGTAGGGATCGATGACACATAAGTATCATCCCATAAGAAATCATGATCATAATAAATAACTGGGACAGATTGTGATAAAGGAATTGGTGATGGTAGCGGTGGTGGCAGCGTTGGTGGCAGCGGTGGTGGCAGCGTTGGTGGCAGCGGTGGTGGTGGTAGTGGTGGTAGTGGTGGCGGTGGTGGTGCAATGACTTGTAGATTATCAGAGGAACAATTTTCAATAATATTATGTAATTCCGAAGATTTGGAAGAAGATAATTTAGAATTCTTTTTACGTTTTCTCTTACTATTTTTTCTAGATTTTTTAGGACGATAAACGTATCCTGGGTAAGCTTGCATATGTTCAATTTTTTTAAAATCCGCTTGCCTTTGCCAATATAATCTAATAGAATCAGATTCACCTTTCCATAATTGTGCTAAAATTTTTGAAATTTCAGCGTTTGAAATATTTCCTTCTCTTTTTGATATTTCAGGTTGCATTGATTTTCTATAAAGAATAAAGGCATTTGGAGGTCGAGGTGTACGCTTAGCCCGTAAATTATCACCAAAATTCGTCGTCACGTTATTTGGATTTTCTATTGTATTGATAGGATCATTTGATAGAGAAGGTACTTTTCGAATATGAGGTTGTGGTTTTACCTTCATTGGTTCAACGAAGGAAGTGAAAACAAAATTGTCTTGGGTACGAATACAACTATTTTCTAAAGAAGTAGTGCAATCAATCATAAGTGACATGGATTCTTTCTTATCAGGTTTACGAGAGAAATGAGATTGTGGGATGTCAAACATCAAGAGACCACAATATTTTTTTCTTGCTTCTTCATCCATAGTATAATGATGGTAAAAAAGGAAAATATGTAATATGTATGGAACGTATAAGGGTTGTTTGGTAAAAGGAAAAGGAAAGAAATGAGAATTATTATTATTATTATTTTTTTTTGAGAAAACAGAGCACACTTTATCTTTTACGAGTTTTGAGATAAATCCAATCCACTTTTATACATAATAATATTATATAATGGCTTAATACACTAACGAAGTTTCACGTGGCATATTTATATTAAATTTGTAGATGCGTACTGACAAATAATGGTGACATTTAAATTAAAAATTTATATAATAAAAATATTTGCTAAAATTGAATTTTTATTGCTGCATTTTTATTTCGTTAATAAATAAATTACACATATTTAATGCCTCAAACCCCTTATTTTCGATAAGAAAATTAGTATTGTAAAATAAATAAAAGTAATAATAAAGGTTTATAGAGGAATCTAACAATTCCCAATATTTCAATTATTTCGTGTAAGCCTTATGTCAATTATATGCATATTCACATATCAGCAATTATTAGATTCACATATCAGCAATTATTAGAGAAAGTAATTATTGTATTATTGATATAACTTATTTTAGAAGTCATTAATCATGCATGCAGTTTATAATAAGATAAAGCGTGGGAAAACATTGACACGTTGATGATAACATTTTATTTAAGTTTATTTCTGGTTAATGTAATTTTTATGAATGTATTGATGAATAAATATGATTGACGCGGTTTTCAAATTAGTATTCAATTATATAAAATCAGATTTTTACATTATCCCATAATTTGAAAACCAGATAATTAAAAATTGATTTTATAACATTTATGAAGAAGAATAATACAATTGAAAATATTTTTTAGATCGAATTGTTCTTTTTTTTATATCTTTTATTCATAATATTTTCTATACAAGACAACTTTGATTAAGTTTCATCAATTTCTTTCTGTGATCTCTAATCAGCTTTGACATAATAATTATATTTTAACTTTGTATAGTTAGGTATCTGGAAGAAAAAAAATTTTATTTATTAACAATTGTCAAGCCTTATCATGCATTAAATCTTTTTGTTACACGTGTAACTTAGATTATGTAAAAGAAAAATATAAAAGACAATAGTAAGGTGAGAAAGAAAAATAAAATAAAATCGGTTAACAAAGCTAGGAAATAATGACAAAAAAAATGTAACTAACTCTTGTTCCTCGAATAAACAATTTCAAGATTTTCATGGTTTTCTTTCATCTTTACAATCTTAATGTCCACTACAACTGAGAGCTGAGAAAGTGATGACAAAGCAGGGTAATGAGGAAACTTATAATAATGAGAAAAGGAAACTGGTGTAGTTTTGGCATTTTTAGAGAAACAAAAAACCGAAAATCTATAAAAGAAATATTGAAATGTGAATGGGTTGTGCTCGACTTGCTTGTAATTTAAACGTATTATAACTAGATATGTAATAATTAAAGAAGTTAAAATACCACCCAAATCTTGAGCACGTGATTTTGTAGAGAATGCCATCATCAAACCGTAATATACGTATATTTGCGTATATTTACGCATATTTACGCATATTTGCGTATATTGCATATATTTACGTATATTTGCATATATTTACTTACGTAAATTTACGTAATATTAACGTATATTTTTGCAGTTCCGTAATATCACGCAGATTTACGTCTAAAGAAATTTTCAGATGATGGTGCGAACAGTGAACATTTAGAAAGTATACTCATTTAACTACTTATAAAACGGAAATACCGTAATTCGTCGCAGCAGCTGATATTTCACAGAGTGTTTGCATAATAGCGACAAATTTCATTTTTTCAAAGAATCACTCTTGTAACATTTTTCTACAGGTTGATAATGCAATAATTAGTAATTTATGTATAATGGTGGTAATGGAATAAATATGTTCCTTATAAAATTTTAAACTATGATAATCATCCTCCAAGTCATACGTTTTATTCAAGACGGTTAGGGTTCTTAAAGAAACTTCATATCCAAGAGGATACAAAATGGCTGTCAATGGAAATTACAAAAAAAAAATCGCGAGAAATTTTAATGTTCAATGCCGAAGATCGGCTAACTTTATTAATAAAAAAATTAAATGACCATTATTTTCAAAAACTTTTGGGAAATTTTCTTGAAGAAAGGCCTGGCGAGACGACTTGTATGCTTTGGGTCGTTGTCTTGCTGGAAGCGAAAATTATTACCAAGTATCAGGGTGTCTCAGGATTATGTGTACGAAGAATTTCTAAATAAAATCAGCATGCATAATTTGTTTAAAAATAAAATACCCAAGCCATGATTTTTGTACGATCTTTAGGCATACAACGAACCGGTCTTTCCCCTTTATACCAACGTTCTACAGTGTTTCTAAGCAGCTTCGTCAGTAAATATTGTTTTTGACCCATTCTATTAAATATCCAATACTTGCAAGGTGTCTTCCAATGGCTCTATACGATATTTTAAAACATTTGCCACTATTCTTTTTTTGGTAAGAAAATCTTACCAAAATATACCTGGGTTTTTATTTCTTCTATCTATTATTCGTGTACGATTACTATATCTATTCGCTACTCGCTACTCGATTACGATAATGATTACGATTGCGATTATACGAATAACGTCCCACACACCCTCCTCAGATTAGCAGTTCTTTAAATATCAAAAAAATATGTAATACAAACATTATTTGCTTGTGAAGTACTTGAAATACTATGTCGTATGTAAGGGCTAAGCCTCACCTGTTAAACTAGCATTCCGCGTGTTGTATTACGCCAAATACGTGACCTACTGAAGATTATGTAAAAAAAATTCTATTTTTTGAATTCGCCCACGATTTACGCGACAGGTAGCGATTTTCTACTAAGATATTTTTATGACAGATCAAAAGACCTAGCTTTTGGCTACAAGATAATATGTATTTCATTTCTGTAGCATTAAAATTTGCGGAGATATTTGCGTTTAAATTCGCTCATATTTTCCGGAATTTTTCATAATTCTGGCCAGAATTATAGAAAATTTATGGCAGAAAAATTTCACGGACGTTCGATTTTAAACGCGAATAACTCCGCAAATTTTAATGCTACCGAGATGATTTTGTAGCCAAGAACAAGGCCTTTCTTTCTACACTCCCCTAGAAAAAGTATTTGTGGAATGCTAAAATTAAAATGCTAATCGTGGCACAATGAGTGATCTAAATTGTTATTAGATTCCCTAAACTAGGCTATCATATGATATATTTTGTGATAAATTCGAACACCTATTCGCTTAAAATGAAACTAACAAAAAATAATAAATTTATTCTTAGATGTTACCTATACTGCATTCGATGGGTATTAAAGATAGATACCAACTATCTTATACGAAATTGTAGCTAAATTTAATATCTACAATTTTAATTATTGACGTTTTCCTTGGTACCTAATAAAAATTTTGACTTTACTTAGACGTGAATAAAAACGACCGAAATTTAATAAAATTTTAAAAAAATAAAAAAAAATTCGAAAATAATTATATCAATCGTTTATACCTGAAAAATTTGATCATTTATTAACTTAACGAAAAATGTGGTATTAAGTCACCTTAAAGCCTAAAATATGGTGCATCTTTTGTAAAAATTTCAGCCTTATACATTGAGAATTGAGAGAACAATCATGATTAAACTTTAGAGTATAATTTTGAAATGTCTGATCCGTTAATATTAAACTCAATTCTCAATTTAAAAATCTGAAATTTTCACAATAGATACTCCGTATTTTAAACTTTAACTGTAATTAGTACTATTTTATTGTTTTATTAATAGATAAAGAAGTTTTTATATATGGTTCCGATTGGTAATTATTTTTCGGATTTTTTTTTTTTTGATTTTTTAAAAATGATCAACACGGATCGAAAAATTTCTTTAAAATTCAAACAATCGTTATATTCTCAATTTTTGTTAAAAAATTTTAATCTTTTACAGCAGATGTATTCAATTTTTATCTTTAATGTTACTTAGTTTAACTTTTACTATTTTATTATTAAAAACAAAGGTTTTGTAATTATTTTCGAATTTTCAATGTAGAATCTAATAAAAAAAAGTTTGTACCATTTAGATCACTCATTGTGCCACAATTTGCATTTTAATTTTAGCAATAATTTTCATTCCACAAATACTTTTGCTAGGGGAGTGTAAGTTCTAATACATAAAAACACTTCAAATAATATATATAAGTAAACCTTTTGTAAAAATTATTGGAAATTTTACTTTTTCACACCAGTTTTTAGCCGATGGAGTTTTTCTCTTCGAAATAAATATTTTTTAAGAAACAAAACCAAAGTCGCGAAAATATAGATTGTAAAATTACCACTTTTTAAGGGTTTATCGATTTACTTAAGTTTTTTAATTTTGGGTCAAAAGTTTACTTTTACTTAGTAACGCCTATTAATTTTATATATCGGACATTTTTTTATTAATACTATTGTGTAGAGAATATTATAATATTATATGATCGATATTAGATCTCTTATGATTTATATTCGTGATAAAAAATTTTCGTAACAAGAAAAATTAGAGAAGATAATAATATATCAAATAATAAACATTGAGAATATTTACCTAAAGAACTATCATCCATACCCATCATCATTAGAAAAATATGGTATATCAAGGAGTTAAAGAATGCACAGATAACTGGAACATCACTTTTTAATTTTCATGTGAAAATACATACTTATAAATACAAAATCTATAAATAATAATAATTAAAATATTTTGTCATATAACAAGGAAAAAGATCAAGAAGATTCACTTTGATTTAAAACTATATTCAGCTTAATTGATGCTACAATACGTAATTTTATATTTATTTTCTTGGCATAACAATACTTTCACGAGCTTTATTTGTGCATTCATTGATTTTGGTTTCTTTGTTACGTGCAATATCCATCGTGTGTTTTCAATCTGCAGTTATTAATGGGTACCGAAAAGTAATTGTAATAAGTGAAAAGCCCTTAGATTTATGATCTACAAAGCTATAATGTGTTAAATAAGAAAAATAAACATCATGTAAAATGCCTAATCAATGTATCCCATACAATGTGCGATGTTGCGTCATTAATAATCAATTCCTCTTTTGACGGAATGAGAATACTTTCTGATTGGATAAATTTTAAATGGGCAAACGCACGTGTCAATAGAGACTGTGCGTCGTAACCTTAACTTTAAAATTTTTTCCGTCTAAACCTAAAATGGTGCGCTTTGTGAAGTCAAGAACGGAATGCTTCCATGACAAATGACAAATGAAATATTGCATGAAAGTTATATCAATATTATCTGTTCGTGACATGACTCAAAAAAAAATGAAAAATGAAAATACAAATAAATATAAACAACCATCCTCTTCTCAATTTTTATATTTCAAAAAATAAAAAACATGTTTCCTTCACCATGCTTAATTTCATATAATGAAGAAATTTGGATCAAAATCCACCTTGATCCTTCAACACCTTATGAATTTAAATTGGTACCTCCGGGAGAGGTTAAATTACGTTCAAATAAAAATAATAAAGATATCAATGCATTTATTCTTTTAAGAAAGTTAGCACAAGAAAATTTTAATCTTTTTTGTGAATCCAATGGATTTAATAAACCCAATAATAATGTCGTATCATTTCTAATCTCCATGAATTGGAAAGCAGCAAATGAACAATTTAAAAACTTATTTAAAGAATATACCTGTATGGTAAACGAACTGCGACCGAAACAGAAAACCTACAGTTTTCGGCAAATAAATTTTCTCTGAGGTGGTGATCGTATATTGAATAGGCAATTTTTTTTTTAACGAAATCTTCGTTATTCATTTTTTTTTTTTTGAAGAATTTATTACATTATTGTTAAATTACATTGAATTCTATAGCTTGCAATAATATTTTTTATTTAATTGTATTAAGAATTTCAAGAATTTTTTAATTAGCAAATATATCTATGTTAAACTTTCATTAAAAGGAAATTCCAATAAATGTAGAAATAAATTTTATTGCGTGTTAATCTTGGACGGGATCGACAAAAAACTTTAGAATATTTGAGTATAAAATATTCTTACGGATTAAAGAATTCCGACCTTTTTTGCATCAAATCATCTTCTTCTATTCTTTTTTTCAACTATATATTCAAAGTTTGAAAGAAACTTTCTGTTTAATAAATTATCTGCTATCATATGATTAACATTTATAAAATCTTTATTAACAAATTTGGTATTTTCAAAGTTGCAATTATGGCAAGAAATGATTGTAATAAGTAATCTTAAAACCAGAAATAAAATAGATTCACTGTATTTTAGACCTTTTCAATATAATTATTATTTAAATTCGAGATTCATTTACTATTAATATGGTATATTCATTGAATAATTATCATTTGATTTGTCGTAAAAAGCTGGCAAATACTTGACAATACTTGACAATATTTGGCTGATGAACTTGATACTCTATTTGGCTTACTATCCATGACTAAAAAAACTTTAAGTAAACAGCTAATTTTTATAAATAAGATAATTCAGCTAGTAATTTTTGTATTCTTTTTAGTTTTTTTAAATATTTAAATAATAAAATAATCATGTGATTCTACAAAATCAACAAATTGTTATTTTCTTGATAATCAAATCATGTCGTACAATGTATCCCTTAATGCTTATAAAAGTATATAATCCATGTGTTTTATCTTCATTTTTTCAAACTTTCGCCTTCTTTTAAATATTTTCAATCAAAGATCATTAAAGAGTCACAAAATAAATTCAACACATTATTGGCCTACTATCTATTAATCGTGAATAACATAATGAACACTTTTAATGCAAAAATTACTTCCCGGGGAATAAAAGTTACCTATTCCGACGGCATTTTTAATAATAACTATCCCAAAATATCCGGCCCCGTTACAGATAAATCTGGGAATACAGCGTATATCGGAAGAGTAAAGAATAACGATAACGTTATTAAAACCTGGCTTAAAAAATTGGGTGAAGGCCTTGCAAGATATTTAAATTCCAATTATAATCTTAACATTGATATCGGTAAGAAATTATATTATCTTTAAATATTTTCATCATTATTTTTATCTACTAACTATTTACCTTCAAAAGTGGGTGCAATATTAAGGGATTTCCCTGAAGGTTATTTATTATTCACTCACGATAAGATATATAAAAATTCCACAAGAACTCGTAGCGACAAGTTTCTGCATGGTTTGTATATTTCTATTAAGAATATTTTTTTTTTCATTTATTACCAATTTTTTCTCTTATTTATCTCTCTTCAGGGCCACATAAATACCGTTCTCCAAGGGATTTTTTACCGCACCTTTGTTGGCTTGTCTCTGACAAGACCACAAAATGCGAATGTCGTCATTGCGTGGCGGATAAAAAGTTGAAGAGGAGTTTACAAATACAATGTAATCCCGAAGAAATTGAACGTACAGAATGTGATGAGTGTAATGAATCTTGTTCATACGAGAATAGATTTGAAAAATTTGATCTTCCGAACAAGGATCAAGATAAAATTACAACATTATTTAGATGTGGTGAAATAGTTTGGGTGGATTTTTATAAATTAGATAATCCAAGATTCAACAAACTCATCAAAGATGTTTACAAGAAATATAAAATTTCTATCAAATATTGGCCAGGTGTTATATTAAATCGGGATAAAACTTTAATATTCGATTTAAAGGTCCAAAAAGAACAATCACGACCTTATGATTTACTTAGAATGATCAATTTCGGCATGATGGAGAATGGATTTAATGAATCTAGTGGAACGAATGGATTAAATGAATCGAGCGGATTAAATGAATCGAGTGAATCAAGTGAATCGAGTGAATCAAGTGAATCAACACCTGAAACTCCCAAGGATCCATCAAGACTAAGTAAAGTCATTTATACTGTTGAAATATTGGGATTAACTGAAACATTAGAAACGGATCGTAAAGTACTTGCTCCCTGGTTAGCTTATCAATCTAACATTAAATTGATGTCTAAAAAACGTGGAAGAGGTAAAGTAAAAGTAGATTTCTTATATGGAAAGTAAAAAGTTAAAAAAAAAATTAACAGATTTAAAATTCGAAATTTTTAGATGAAAAAGAAGAACATGAATATATTCAAGCGATCCGACAAGCCAAGATAATATCACAATCTTATACAACATTAAATAAGATGATATCAGAATCCTCAAAATCGCGAAGAATGACGAGAAATCTCAGAAATCTTCAATTAGATCAATGCGAGGCACTTTTTTTGGGAGCGGAATTATTATGCAAGAATGATATAGTCCGATTAACGCCAATCGATAACGAACATCCAACATATCCGGAATATCCTGATCCACAATATCTTTTTATTTCCGATATCAAAAAGACCGCTACTAATGGTATTCAACTTGTTGGGCATGGATTACTTCGAGGTAAATTGATTAATAAGGCGGGAATAAGAACGGTGAAGGATTATGAATGGTATCAAATCAACACAACTGATGAAGAATATACAATTGATTTGTCCGATGTCGCGGGAAGATTTTACGTCGCGTATCCGGATATTTCTGAAGCAATGGATAGTTCTTTGAACATTAGTTATAAGGATCGTTGGGGAATTATGGAAATATTCAACGATGGAAAGAAAAGATTGAGTATTTCTCCTGCTATATAAACTAACATAACAAATTATTATGTTAGATTAATTATGTTAACTACGATGTTTATAATCTTAATATTTTCTGTATAAATTTATATAAATAATGAACTTGAATTTGTGAAATTGTGTTTTCTTAATTGTCTAATTTCCAGAACACTAAGAAAAATATAATTGCCAAAACGTATCGTAATATTTGTCCTTTTCAATTTATAATCGTTTTGAATTCATTTTATAAATTAATTCTTATGTTCAAATGTTTATAATAATTATAAATTTATTTTCAAATAAAGCTAATTTTGAAAGGTATCTAGTTTTTTTGGAAAAATGTTTTTTTTAAAAAAATACCACAAAATTATCTATTAATAAAGTAATAAGAATTGGTTAGTGTAAACTTACCCGCCTAAAAATTTGACCAATTAGAGTAGGAATTAAAAAATGGCAAAAGTTTATTATTTTTAAAAAAAAATTTTTGGAGCGAAAATAAGAATTTGCAACCAAAAAATTGAAAGTTAAGAACATAATGCACCAATAATATTCAACTTGCCAGAAAAAGATAAATTTATCATTGAAACAGAAGATCGACGAAGAATGAATTTTTTTGAACCGGGGAAATGTAAAAAATGCATTGTATATCTAGTTAATAATCTATTCCAAATTAGGATAAATATTTTTTTATGGTAAAGCTTATACGAATGTAAATCTACGTGGTCGATAAAAATTCACTCGTTCGGTGTAGTTTTTAAAACGTAACTTGAAATTTTCGTCGGCGTTATTCCAGATACGCCCCATAATTATCGAAATAGAATTATTTTCGTATCGAGGTTGATAATTTTGATCGCAGAATTGATTTAAACTCTCTTGGGATAATTTCCTAAAGAGAACAAATGAATTTATAGGCCTATTAGATATTGGTAATTCCACTTCTGCAGGAGATGGTAATTTTACAGAGTGATAAAAAATTTTGTCAGGCTCGATAATATAGAAAATAAACGAGCCATAATCATTATCTTCGTTAAAAGAAACGTATGTGCTCATTGTAAGAAATAATGAGTTTTATTGTTTTACTGAATCTTTTTAATATCGATATATTTTTCAGCCTTTTTATGATTTTTTTTTGTATTAATAAACATTTACTTATTTATTATTTTTATTTAATCTAATATAGAGACATAAAAGTTATATTAACAATAATTTCTTTCAATACTTTCAATTTTGGAAAACTTAATACTCAAAGAAAGTTACATGATATCAAATATTAACAATAATTTCTTTCAAGACTTTCAATTTTGGAAAACTTAATACTCAAGAAAAAAATAAATAATTAATAAAAGATAAAAATAATAATTTTGTAATCCTTTTAATTCCATATTCCTTTATTAAACAAACTAAGTCGGACACGTAATATTAATGTCAATGAAAAATAGTTAGATTAAAAAAATAAGGTTTATTATAGAGATTTTGATTTTCACTTTTAAAGGTACAATTTGAAAATAATTTTATTACAAAAATTAATTTTATCACGTAAAATGTAATCATCTAGAGAGCTTTCAAAAATTTTATTAAAAATATGGTTTCATTATTCGAGCTTATTTATATCTTACTTGATTCGCTTTTAATGGGCCTTTTACTCCGTGATAAAAACTTAAAAGCATTGGAGACATAATAAATGAACTTCCTATCTTAGGATGATTTGATCTGTGATAAAATTTAATGAACGTCTATAGTTCTAAATGAATTCTTGTTTCTAATTTTATAAATGCTTGTCATATCGAAAAATTTCACAGAATTAATTAATATATGAGTAATGATGAAATTTGGAAGTTCCCGGACTAAAAAATACATATTTATTCAGGAGAACTTTTTCGAGCCATATAACAAAGCTTTATTTCATTTTGTAAAGGAAAGTTATCAACGGATTTTTTTAATTTACACATAAAAGGTAAACATAATTAAAGTCGTGTAACTGATCAGATGACATTATTATAAAACAACCAAAGAACTAAAACAATTAAGCAACTTATCAGTAGAAATCGTTCCAAATCGACAACAATATGATTATAATTAACTACTTGTAAACATAATTAAATTACCTATTTCTAATTTATAATTCTCTCGAAATCATACTACAATTTTCATCTTAGTATTTTTTTTTATTCGCAAAATTAATTTAAGTGACAAAATTGATTTTCGAATTTTAAGATTACAATTAAATTCAGATTTTCTTTTTGAGTCAAGACACGTATTTCATCCCATATACCGGTTTTGAATTCATTTAATATAATTTACTATCATCTTTAAATAAAATTTTCCAAAAAGTTCAACATATACAGATGCAATATTTTAATTTAATTTAATTTTAAAATATGTATTTATAACCTACTTTTAATCAAAATACTTCATTTATTTAAATATTAGTATATAAATGTATCAGGTTATATATATTATGCAAAATCACGTAACCTACTGAAGATTACGCACAAAAAATTCTATTTTTTGACTTCGCCCACGATTTACTAAGATATTTTTATAATAGATCGAAAGTCCTAGTTTTTGGCTACAAGATAATATGCATTCATTTCTGTAATATCAATATTCGCGGAGATATTCTTGTTTAAATTCGAACGTCCATGAAAATTTCTGTCACAAATTTTCCGGAATTTTTCATAATTCTGGTCAGAATTAAAGAAAATTTATGGCAGAAATTTTTCACGGGCGTTCGAATTTAAACACGAATACCTCCGCGAATATTGATATTACAGAAATGAATACATATTATCTTGTAGCCAAGAACAAGGCCTTTAGTTCTACATTAGAATATATTAGTAAAAAATCGTTCTATGCTTCGCAAATCGCGAGCGAAGTCAAAAAATAAAAAAAAAAGTGAAAATCAGTCGGAAATTTTCATTTTTTACACTTTTTCGACTTCACTCACGATTTTCTATTAAATATTTTTAATAAAGAAAGAAAGGCCTTGTCATTAGCTACAAAATAATATGTGTTTCATCTCAGTAGCATTGATATTCGCGGAGATATTTGCGTTTAAATTCGAACGTCTGTGAAAAATTTATGCCATAAATTTTCCGTAATTCTGGCCGGAATTATGAAAAATTCTGAAATTTATGACAGAAATTTTTCACGGACGTTTGGCTTTAAACGCGAATAACGATGCTACCGGATGAAACATGAATCATTTCGTAACCAAGAACAAGGCTTTCTTTCTATATTAGAAATATTTTAATAGAAAATCGTGAGAGAAGTTGAAAAAGCGTAAAAAAAATGAAAATTTCCGGAGATTTTTAACGCTTTTTCGACTTCGCTCGCGATTTTCTACTCAGATATTTCTAATGTAGAAAGAAAGGCCTTGTTCTTGGCTACAAAATGATATATATTTCATTCAGGTATCATCGATATTGCGTTTAAATTCGAAATTTCTGCCATAAATTTTTCACGGACGTTCGAATTTAAACACGAATATCTCCGCGAATATCGATGCTACAAAAATGAAACAAATATCATTTGTAACCAAGAACTAGGCCTTTATTTCTATATTAGAATATCTTGGTAGAAATCGCTCTGCGCTTCGCAAATCGCGAGCGAAGTCAAAAAAATGTAAAAAAATGCGAAAATACTCCGTTGATCATCGCCTATTGAAATTTACTGATGAATTTTTTAACCAATCAGGATTGATTATTAATTATCAGGAGGACCTATAGTAAAGAGAAATCAGCAGATTTTCTAGCACGTAGAGATAATTTCTTTTCTTTTCTTTCGCGATTTGCGGAACATCGAGCAATTGATATTTATTTAGGTCATTTGTGATTACAACTTTTGTTTTTCATATCGAATCAACAAGGTAAAATAGAAAAATTTCATTGTTTTAATGTTTTAATGTATTTAATGTATTTAATGTGTTTGGTGTAACAATGTTATATAAAGAATAATATTATCGTTCTTTAAGACAAAAAAAAACAATTCGAGGGTATTTTTAAACTTTGTCACGCCATGTCACCATTTAAAGACAAAATTTTTCAATATTTCTTATACGAAATGCTCTTTCTGGCAATAAAGACAAAGCAAAACTTAAAATAATCAACAGAATTCAAAATTAATTTAATTAACGAATGCCATATGGTCGCACATTTAGATATTTTATATTGAAAACTTTAAATGAAATTAACTTTCAATAAACCTTACCTACTTATCGCATTTTGTGTAAAAGAATGATGTATCAGAGAACAAATTTGATTCGAAAGATCTCTCAATTTATTATTTAGACTTCTCGCTTAATTAAATTAAAAACAACGTTTATGCACGAATTCTTTGATCGAATTTAATTCTGAAACTTTTAATTAATGCAAACAATGAGTTCTGTCACATGATATCATACAATTTATATTTTCGTATTTCGGAAAAGACATTAAATTACTACTTCCTTGATTTAAGACAGTGAAAGAAAAAGCTGTGTAAGTTTTGTAACTAAAAGATATAAGAAATGATTAATTTTGCAAAAAAAAAATAAGTATTTAAAGGCGATAGATTTTTTTTCCTATCTTTATTTTCATTAGAGTCGATAAACTAATTCTTTCATCTTTACATTACTTTTTTACTCAATAATAAAGATGAAATCTCAATCATTATTATTGTACCTTTTAGCGTTAACTCAATTTCTAACAATAACATTTGCGGAACCTGTTAATAAACAATGTATCGATTATCCAAATCCTTTAAATCCCGCTCAGTTTGAAGTAATAGATTGTCCCCCTGTTAAGAATGATAATGAACCTAAAGTTAAGCGTAAAATCCAAAATTTCTTTAAAGTAGATCTCAATTGCCGTCATACCGCAGCCGTATGTAACAAAATAAAAAAAGCCTTTGATGACGCTGGAAAAGAAATATCAAAAGTATTGAAGTTAAAAAAGCAAATCAATGTGAATGCTACTTATGAAAGTTTTTCATACAGTGAAAGTAATCTTTTAGGTGAGTTATAAAGATAACTTTTATAATAGGCCAATATAATTTATCTTGTAAATAAATAAATAATAATAATATTTATAATATTTAAAAGGTTCTGCTTATCCCGCGCGAAATGTATTTCTAATCTCAGATGATAAGATTACAAGACTTTATCCTCAAGCTCTTGTAAAACAATTTTCCTTAAATGTACATCCTGCATATAATTCACATGATATTAATGCAAGATTTAATGCAGGTAATAATCAAATAGTATTGAAGTTTAATATCAAGAATATTCGAAATATCAAAATATTAATTATATTAATTATATTATTTTTTTTTTCTATAGATTTTGATTGGTATTTTAAAGCTAATAATGTAGAAATCAAGCCTAATCAATACGATTTTTATGTAGTTATATTGCATGAACTTTTACATGGACTTGGATTTATATCAAGTTGGAATACTTATCTTGAAACTAGTACTTATCAACCTATCACTGGTCTTACTCCAAACTACTATTTCTACGGCAATAAATTTGGCGGATTTGTAGAAAACATATTTGATAGATATTTAAAACTCATAGAAAATAATAAAAAAATCCCGTTATCAGATTACACTGCCCAGTTAAATAAATCTGTACCTTCTTTGACTCCATTTAATACTGATTTAGGATTTACTACTATAGTAAAATCTTCTCCAAAATGGAAATACGCAAAGTCGGCACTTAAAGCAGCAACTTCCAATAAACTATTATTTACACCAGCGAAACGCGCAAGTTGGAAAAATGATATTTATTTAGAAGCTAGTCTTAAACCTTTTGTATCAGGTTCTAGTATAAGTCACGTTAGTCAATCAAGATATAGAAAAACTTCTGACTTTGTAATGACATACCAGCAATTTCCTGGAGAATCGGAAAAATTTTTAATTAGAAGAGGTGGAAATTTCAGATCTCCAATTGGACCCAGAATTATTTCTATACTTGAATCGATTGGATATGCAACAGATGCTTATCCTAATCCCATTAAACCTATCTACATAAATATTTAATTGCCGATCCACGTATGATAGATAGAAATTTAATTAATTTAATTGCAAATAGATATATTTTTTTTCTTTCATTTCCCCCCTCATAGATACTGTAAGTCTATCAATCTTTAACCAAATATTTATTTTTATTTAAATATTTTAATATAATTCTTATTAAGCTGCAAAGTTTTATAATTTTCACCTAATTGTGAATCATCTTTTCCTCTAAAATAAAGTTTAACTTTGTCAATTGAAATTTTATTAAAAGAACTTTGAGATTGAGTCTTTTTCGACATTGTTAAATCACACCAGTGTGATTATCAACCAATAAAATAAAATACATGATTAAATTTCAGACACATGATTTTCAGGTGATCGAAATTTCACGTGTTATAAATCTTAGGTGACAACTGTTATGTGACAAATATGCTCTCGCGTGTAAAAAAATTCAAGTCCCTAGGATATCTAATAAAAATTACACTACCCTTGAAAAACCTAATACTAACCCCTGCGGTATAGAATAAGGTGTAACACCACCAGCGTGATTTAAAGTTTTCGTTAATAAAAAACTGTATTGCTATTTTTTGCTTAATAAAAGTATTAGCTAAAATCTCTAAATTTATATAAATTGTATACAGTACGTAGATTTTAAAATTCAAAATTTTTATTTCTGCGCCAGAAAAAGATTTGAATTTTCATATATGAACTAATTTAGGGTATTCATAATTAATGACGTCATTTGTAATTTTCATAAACAAAAACTGGTCACTAAAGATGGAGTATTGCTCCTTCATTAATTGCTGCGTTGCTGAAACAGATGTTAATTCTAAATTTCATTGAAATATGAAACTGGTCACAAAGACTGGAGTTAATAAGTAATGCGCAGCTAATTCTGTAGATTGTAGATTGTACGAAAAATGGTAAATTCCGGAAGCACTTCAATGACTTCAATGAGAGTTATTTGTAAATAATGACGCAAAGATTCATATAGAAACTTTCATTGTTTCAAATTAAAAAAAATTTCCTTATCTAAATAATAAACATGGACAATATGTATAATATAAATTACACAAATTACACAAATTGTTTCATTCGGGCAAAAATATATTTATTTAATGACAAATTTTTTTAGCTAATTTTTACTTTCTGTTTCTAATTCAAATAATAAAGATGAAATTTCAATCAATATATGCATCAATATTAATTTTAGCTTTTAATCATTTTTTGATAGCATTTGCAGCTCATCCCTGTATTGATTATCCAGATCCTTTAAATCCTGGTCGATTTGAATTTACAGATTGTCCAAATATTGTTGAGGATGATATTGAAGATTTGCCCAATGTTAAACGTGAAATCCAAAATTTCTTTCATATAGATATTAATTGTTATTCTGACGCAACCTTGTGTAAAAAAATAAAAAAAGCCTTTGATGACGCTGGAAAAGAAATATCAAAAGTATTGAAGTTAAAAAAGAAAATTTATGTAAATGCTACCTTCGAAAGTTTTTCTTTAATGGAAAGAAATGTTTTAGGTGAGTTATAAAAAAACTTTCATTATAAACATATTTATCGCTTCAAGGTTTATGATTCATCTTGTAATTACATAATAATAATATTTATAACATTTAAAGGTTCTACTTATCCCACACGAAGTATATTTCTGACCTCAGATGATAAGATTACAAGACTTTATCCTCAAGCTCTTGCAAAACAATTTTCCTTAAATGTACATCCTGCATATAGTAAATATGATATTAATTCAAGATTTAATGCAGGTAATAATCAAATAATATTGTAAGTTTAATATCAAAGAATATTCAAAATATTAAAATATTGTTATTATTTTTTTTTTATTTTGTAGATTTTGGTTGGTGGTTTAAATCTGATAACAAAACGATCGAAACTGATCAATATGATTTTTCTATAGTTGTATTACATGAACTTATACATGGACTTGGATTTATATCAAGTTGGGATAATAGTCTTGAAACTAATGTCTATCAATATGTCACTGGTCTTACTTCAATTTACTATTTCTACGACAATAAATATGGCGGATTTGTAGAAAATATATTTGATAGATATTTAAAACTCATAGAAAATAAGAAAAAAATCCCGTTATCAGATTACACTGCTCAGTTAGATAAATCTGTACCTCCTATGACTCCATTTAATACTATATTACAATTTACCAATAGAGTAAAATCTTCTCCAAAATGGAAATATGCAAAATTAGTACTTAAAGCAGCAACCACCAATAATAGTATAATTTTTACACCAGCGAAACGAACAAGTTGGAATCAAGATATTTATTTAGAAACTAGTCTTAAACCTTTTAACGCAGGTTCCAGCATAAGTCACGTTAGTCAATTAAAATATAGAAAAACTTCTGACTTTCTAATGACATATCAGCAATTTCCTGGACAAACGCTAGAATACTTTATCAAAAGAGGTGGAAATTATAAATCTCCAATCGGACCCAGAATTATTTCTATACTTGAATCGATAGGATATGCAACAGATACTCACCCTAATCCCGTTAAACCTACACTCCCCAGCAAAAAGTATCCGACCATGTGACGATTGTCGCAATTTTAAATTATTGTTATTAGAATATTTTATATTATTTTATTGTTAATATTTGTTGGATTATAATGACTATCTATAAATTTTTTGGTAATAAAATAAAATAAATAATTGTAACTTGATATAGTTGATAACATACATGATAACATAGTCAATAATATTTGTGTGATTACTTTTTACCTATCTGAGTAATGTGTAAAATACAATTAGATTATTAGATATATTTTTAGTTTATGCAAACTAATGACAAAAATTAGTTATGTATACAGTTCACAGTATACAAATATCATTATCAAATATAGGTTTCTAAAGGAATTAGGGCTTAATATAGAAGAGTATATACTATAGTATTATAATTTAGCTTATCATTTTCATCTAAAGGAAATTGATTAAAAGTATTAACCTAATATACAAAATTAATAAATGAGTATATAGATATAATTCAATCAAGTAATATAGTCTAATAACATGAATATAAATTTGTCATTATAATTTTTATAGGTCATGGATATTCGAGTATAATAATGTAAATACAAATTTGTTATCATATTTTTTATAGATCATGGATATCCAAGTATAATAACAAATTCAAAAACCAATTGTCACTCAAACAATGACACTCATGTGATTTCATTGTTATAGATAACTAGAAATAATCTGGATTAACTGGAAATAATATAATTATATTATTTATGGTATTACTCTAATAATAAAATTTAATTTAATAGATAAATAATATTAATATTTACTTATAAAAATCTTTTACTTACCAATTAAATAAGACTGTATTTATTTGAAACTTTATTTAATAATTATTTAGAATTTGTTACTAAAATAAATTTTCTCACAATAGAAATATACAAAATCTGTGTTATATTTGTAATTGCTAAAACTATTAATAATTGATTGAACTTTATAATAGTAAACAATACAAGTTGGAATTAAAGAATTTATTTAGAATTTAGCTTTAATCTTTTTATTAACAATTTTAATATAAGTCACATCAGTTTAAGATATAAAAATAATACTAATTTTTTGATAACAAAATTTGTATTTTTTATTGATATAATTTAATAGAAATAAATTAATGTAATTTTTTTATCTAAACTATAATTATTAAGAAACTTGTCTTGTTTGATCTTATTATGAATTAAATTAGTAACATATCTTAATTTATAATTTTTTTGAATTATTAAATATTTATCATATTATTAATGTATAAAAAATTATTTCTCAACTAATAAAATGTAAAATAAATTTCTTGATTAATTAATTATACTCTAATTTTGTCTTGATAAAAAATTAGAAATAATATAATAATTTAGAGTGTTAAATAAAAAGCCTATACTATAAAGATATTTTATGTAGTCTATAGCAAATAACAAAATCTGAAATATATTCTATTAAATTTTTATGATATAATTTTTATATTTAAAAATAGAAAGACCTTATAAATTAAAATTTTGTAATATTAGCTTTATTCTTTCATTTTTATTTTATTGTATTATTATTATATATTTTATTATTTGTATTTCATATATTATTTAATATATATTAGCATAATTTATTAATGCAAATTAGTTAGAAATTAGTATAATTATTATATATTATAACTGCAGATCTTCAGTGTAATTGATAGCATAGTCTACAGTATAATCAATAGTGTAATTAAAAGTGTAATTTATTATAACTTCAAAAATATATATAAAGAACTGAATTCCTTTCCTCTCAGTCTCCAGTTCTTCAACTTGCAATTAATAAACTTTTTTGTAATTTACAATAATTATTTTTTAGTCCTTTAAAATTCTTAATAAATTTGTTTTTCATATAGTTTCTGTGTAAAACTTTTTATAATTCTTAGTAAATTACTTTTATCTTTGTGACTAGCATTTGTTATAGTTTTCGTTTTAGTGACTTATATAGTATAGTTTTGTCTTCGTGACTTGTTTTAGTGACTCTTCTTAGTGAAATATTGTCTTAGTGATATATTCTTATTAAAAATCTCATCCTCTTTAGCTTCTTTCAAGAAATCCATAATAACAAAATCTTCATATTTATACTTTCTTTATAGTATAACCTGTTCAATAATAGTATATTTAGTATAGTTGTTTTAGTTTTAGCTATACATATTTTTCCTGCTTTTAGTTGCTAGTTTATCAAATTCCTTTGAAGGTGAATTTCAGTCAATGTCATATGTCACATAGTGTTATGAATTGCAAATACAAAATTGTGATTATTTGACTATTAACTATATAATCAAGTACAAATGTTAATCAACAAATAATCACGATTATTTGTCAATTATCAAATTTGTGATTATTCATGATTATTTGTGATATATTTTTTTAAAGAATTTTTGTATTTTTTTATTTTTTTTTGACTTTGCTCGTGATTTGAAAAGCATAAAGCGATTTTCTACTAAGATATTTCTAATATAGAAAGAGAGGCCTTGTTCTTAGCTACAAAAAAATATGTGTTTTATTCCAGTAGCATCGATATTCGCGGAGATATTCACGTTTAAGTTCAAACGTCTATAAAAAATTTCTGTTATAAATTTTCCGTAATTCTGGTCAGAATTATGAAAAATTATGGCGGAAATTTCATAAACGTTTGACTTTAAACATTAATATCTCTGTGAATATTATTGGTGCTATATCATTTTGTAGCTAAGAATAAGGTCTTTCTTTCTATATTAGAAATACCTTAGTAGAAAATCACTCTACGCTTCACAAATCGTGACGATTAATCGAGTACAAATATAGACCCGATTCCTAATACTAGTGTCACACCTTTCAAATATCAATTTTTATTAAATATTCTGAATTTTTTTACATGTGGAAAACATATTCGTCACTCACGCAAAAGTTTTAATTTTGATAGATTTATGGTTGTTTTTTTGATATATCAAAGATGCCTTTAATTATTTATTTATAGATACATCAAAAAGATAACTATTTTGTCACATGAAAATTTGATTTATCAAAAAAACGAAGTCTTTGCGTCACTCACCATTCATCATCCCATAAAACAACACGTGAATTTCTTCTGATCACCTGCCAAGTTATGGTCGAGGAAAAACGTGGGGGACGAAAATTTCTATGGCGATACTGGGTTAAATCCCGTTCACTTAATAAATTTTTATTATCATGGAACAGAACGAATATGACGAAAGAAGCAATTTACTTGAAGAACTTGAAGATGAGCGATATCCTTTTGGAATTCCTATCGTTAACTATAGTGTCCCAGATCAAATGGGTAATAATATTAAATATTTATTAATAATTACTAATTTATTAATTACAATTGATTGATTACTTATAATATTCCAACATTTATAAAATTAAAGCATTTATACGTAAAACGTGGGCAATTTTTACCATACATGTATTCCTTATTCTTTCGACTGCATCGATTTTTATGTTTATTTATGAATCGAGACACATTATTCAACGATTGTATGATATTTATTATAATTTTTTATTTTTATTATTTATTATTAAGAATTTATAGAATTAATAAATTTATTATTATTTTTATTTTATTAGTTGGTGGTTGTGGTGGATTTGTTTCTTTGCCTCTATCCTTATGTTATATAGTCTAACTTACAAATCCAATGATGATTTTCAACCACCTTGGTATTTGATATTAATATATGCATTGGTAAATTCATATGTGATAGGAAGTTTAAGTAAGTTTTTGATGAGATTAATGTAAATTTATGTAGATTAACAAAAATCTATAATGAGATTAATGGAGATTAATGAAAATTATCTTAATTATTTTTTGTTATGTTGTTATTATTAGTTTGCCTATTAAGATTATATTCGGCACTTGAAGCTTTGCTCATATTATTTATAAATTGTTTATCACTCCTTGGATTTACCAACCAAAATACTTATAAATTCAAATCTAAAGAATCCGTGTAAGTACTAATTAATTAATTATTTTAATCTATTTTTAATTATTTTTAATTATTTTTAATTATTTTTAATTATTTTAATCTTTTTTTTTTTTAGAATATTAACAATAATTACCACTTTTGCATCAACATCAATTCTTTATATAGTTTATTTGGAAAATTCTAAAGAAATAGAATTTTATGATGCAATAATAGCATTCTTAATAGCATTACCTTTATCATTATTTTTTATATTTGATACTTGGTATTTAATGAAAAGTATGAATAAAAAAGAATTTTGGGGAGCTAGTGTTCAATTAATATTAGATTTATTTGCACCATTTAAATTTGTTCATCACATGTGTGAATTATCTGCTGATTATTATCAGTAATTTATAATTTTTATAATTATTTTCTACTAATTATTATTGTAAATTATTTTAAATTATTTCCATTGTTATTATCATTATTGTTGTTGTTATTATCACATCACATTCAACATATTTCACTAGATAAGTTATTTATTTATCACATTCTTATATACACACATATATATAATATATTTTATGTTCTTAGATACAATAAATTAAAAAAAGTTATTCTTGATGAAAAAAAAAAGATAATATTACGTGATAATCTTATTAAATAACAATAATAGTGTTAATAATGGTAATGATAGATTGATGACAATGATAAAAATTATAATTATTTAAAAATATTTTATTATCAACTTTATAAAATTGAAAAATTGAAAATTTTGATTTCTAGAAAGAAAAATCCAACAAATAATTAAAATTTTTTACCATTTCCTTTTTTTTTCTTTATTTCCCAATTCAAATTTCTATTTGTTTTGAATATGACACCATCTTCCCACATTCTTTTAGCGATTATAGACAAATTCTTGGCATCATCAATTCCGGAATGTTCACGTCCTTCAAATTTTAAACCATATTTTGCTAACATACCAGAAATGTTTAATTTTTCAATCCGGTAAAAAGATGCAAATAATTGTCTTACATCAACCCAAGGAAGTGTGAAATATGAAGGTCGTGATATTTTAGAAATGAAACATTGTTTTCTTATGAAATCGCGAATATCCCATGGGCCTATTAAATAATATATACATATATATATTAAATTATATTTTTGTTATATTTTGGTATATTTATTATATTCATATTATTCTTCAATTTTAATAATGATTAAAGAAATAAATAAATTATAAATATCATTTTACTTACCATCTGTCATAAAAGCACATGAATTTTTATAAAATAGCTAAAAAAAGAATATTATAAATATAGAATAAATATATTAAAAATATATATTATTAATAACATTTAAAATAAAATAATAATAATAAGATAAATAAAGATAAATAAGATAACATAACAAATAACGTAAAAAATAATGTAAAAAATAAAATAATATAAGATGATTTACTTGATGACTATGTAAAAATTCTTGAAATTTGCATAACATTTCAGGAAATGAAGGACTGGTATTTATTGTTGTCTATTTTATTATGTTTATTATGAGATTAAGTGGTGTGAGTACTAAGCAATTAAGTATGTGAGTATCAAGTAATTAAAATGATTAGATGATTACATAATACTTATTAGATTTATTAGATTAATTAATTATTAAAATTAATTAATCTTAAATTAATTAACATTAAATTAAAATTAATAAAATAAAATTCATAAATAAACAAGTGATAATAATGCATAAACCTGTGGTATTCCAGTCAATTTTATACAGAAATCTGATAATATTGGATTAACACTTGGCTTGACATAGGAATGAAATACATCAACCTATAATGAATGAATATTAATTAATTAAAATCTGATGACAATGTGATGGTAATAAGAGAATAATAATATGAGAATAATAATAAAGAGAATAATAATAAAGAGAGTAATATTAAGATGATAATTTACAATTTCAAAAGTACTACTATCAATCAACAACATTGGAAATTCTATAATTTCATGTTTAAAATCAAATCCTGTTCCTGCTTCACATGTTGCTTCAACATCAAAACATAAATAATATTGAAATGGTTGTGGTTTTCTATATATTAGAAATATATTAAAAATATATTAGAAATATATTAGAAATATATTTGATATATATTTGATATATATTTGATATAATATTTGATATATATTAGATGTAATAAAGATTAATTCCATTTACCTTCCATTTTTTATAACAGACAATTCCCTAAATCCCTTGAAAAGAAATTGTGAATAATCTAATTGTTCTGGAGTCAAAGAAGCATCAAGGATCCCAGGCATATTAAGTTTATTAGAATTATCATGTTCATTAGAATTATCACGTTCATTATTAGGATTATTAGGATTATTTGGGATATAAGGAATATTTGGAGTGTTGAAAGTATTGGAACTTCTACCATCATTCTCATATGTAATAATTGAACCTAGAGATTGTGGTTGAGGATGAATCATATAATTCATGTTCGTATTAACTTTAGATGTTGACAGGAACGTATTGTAAGTCATTCTATTACCACCACCACTATTGTTATTATTATTATTATTATTATTATTATTATTATCATCATCATTATTATTATCATTATTATTATCATTATCATTATTATTATTATTTTGCTTCAAATAATTCCTCAAGTCTTTCTTATTTCCTCCTCTTTCGGTATTTAATTCTAAATCTTCTAATTGTTTACAAAACATTTCTATACTATTTGGTGATAATCTATTCTTCACTGTATTCAAGGTATTCACGGTTTTCATAACTGTACTCGTCACCGTCATAGTATTCATTGTCATGGTGCTCACGGCATTCACGGTATTCATCGAGTTCATATTATTATTATGCACATTATTATTATTATTATTAACACTATTATTAAATATATTATTATTATTATTATTATGTACATTGGGGGTTGGAAATATAGTAGGAAGTGGTAAATGAGGTATTAAAGGTGGAACTTTCGATTCATTATTATCATTATTATTATAATAATCTATAATTCTTGCTTGCATATTCATTTTTTGAATGGAAAATAAACAATATAAAAAAAGAGGAGAAGGGAGACCCAAAATTGAAGTGAATATAGAGTCTAAATATATAACGAAATTCTTCATTTGAATTTATTATTATTATACTGTATGACATAAGTGACATTAATCATTTTAATGCGTTACGAGATAGTCTATTTCTTACATTTTCCCTGATTTGTTAATTTGTTTATTAAACGCATAGATCAGATCATAAACAACAGATCAAGTTTTATTATTAAAAAAGTTCAATTTTTTGCTTAAATAAGAAATTAATTTATGAAAAAATATGATAATCAATTTGAACTTTAAGAAATGAAATGCCGAATATGTACAAAAGAGGGAATTCATTCTCTATTGTATATGGGGTATTTTTCATTCATATGACTAAAATTAATTAGTGTATCCATAAAATAGATAGATAGATAGATATATATTTTTGAATTATTAAAATTAATAATTAATAATAATTAATAATAATAATAATAATAATTAATAATAATAATAATAATTATAATATATAATATAATTATAATTATAATTATAATATATAATAATAATAATAATAATTATAATTATAATTATAATTATAATATATAATAATAATAATAATAATTATAATTATAATAATTAGCAGTTAATGATAAATTAATTACTTTTGTTTATTATTGTTTATTACTTTTGTTCTTTATTGTGATGCTGACGATTGAGGAGAAGTTTGATAATTTTGATAATCTGATTGTTGTTGTTGTTCTTGCATTCCTGTATATAATATTTGTGGAGGTCCCTAAAAAATTGCAAAAAAAAAATTATTATAGAATTAGAAAATCTACAACTAATTAACTTATTATATTCAATTTCTTACTTGTGTTGCTAATTGCCAAAGTGTCATTTTTTGTTCTTTCATCCTTTCTGCAATTTGTTTCTCATAATTATCCATATCTTGTTTCATAGCGCGTTGTAACTCTGGACTTTGTTCTTTTAAAGATTTATAATGTTGAAGTAATCCATCGTGCGCCATTTGACGATGTAATAATGCTTGTTGATATGGAGGAATTTCTTGCTGAAAATTTTAAAATTATTAAAATATTAAAAATAATTAACTTAAAATATTAAACCAACTTAAATAATTTTAAAATAATTTAAAATTATTAAAATTTATTTAAGATTATTAAAAATTATAAAAATTATTTAAAATTATAAAAATTATTTTAAAATTATTAAAATATAAATAATCTTTTATTCATACCGTTGAACCAAATCCAATAGCGGAAACAAAACTTGCTAAACCTTTCTTTTCCTTTTTAGCCTTTTCATATTCCATTTGTCTTTGTTTTTTCCATTGTTCTTCCCATTCAGCGTACGCCTTGGGAACATCTTTTCCTTGGAATAGTTTTAATATTGGTCTAACATCGTGAATTTCATATGGTGATAATAATGTGAAATCTAATATCATTAAAAAAATATTATTTATAATAAAAATAAAAATAAATATAAATATTATTTATAAAAGATTTTTTAAACACAAACGATATATTAAATAACATAAATAATATTAAATAATATTAAATAAAAATAATATTAAATAAATTAATTACGTTCAAGGAATGGAATAATATCGATCAAAAAAGTATCATTGGGATCTCCTTTCCATGGAGGAATTGCAATAGCATTTTCTGGTTGCAGTGAATATGCATCAGGATTAGAATCCATTATTATTACTTTAGAAAGATCCCTATTTAATTTAGAAAGATCCTAATACAAAAAATTTAAATAAAATATATAAATATAAATAAATAAATAAATAAATAAATAAATATATATATATATATAATATTAACATAAATAATCAATATAAAACAAAATAAAAATCACCTTAACAATCTTTCCTTCTACATATCTCGTCGATTCTCTATAAAGTCGTAAAGGAACCATAGCAAGTGGATCAAGTTTCATAAGAATTTGTTCTGCAACCTAAAAAAAATAAAATAATAATAATTAATTTAAAACTTATATATAATAATTTTAATGATAATAATTATAATATTTTTTAATATTTTTATATATTTTTAGAACTCACATAAGAAGGTTGTGAAGTAAAAATAACAACTTCAAAAAGATTTGATGCCACAAATAAAAAATAATCAACTCCCGGTCGTTTTGCAGTTCTCCAACCATGTTCCCTCTAATTTCAAATTTATCTATAAAGTATTAATATTAAAATGTATATAATATATAATGCGTCGTTATATTTTATCTTATTAAATAAAAATTAGTTGTTGATAACTCACATCCCAAGTTGAATAAATAAGTGTTTGATCTAAATTAATTACTAAAGTATATGGTGAATAATTGGGTAACGAATTTTTATCTGGTAATAATTTATCTGATGGTGGTTCGGTAAAGAACTATAATTAATAAACGATAAATATATATTATAAATTATTATTAAAGAAGAAAAAAAAAAATTAAATGAAATAATAATAAATAATATCATTATTAATCATTATTAATAAAAAAAATCATTTTCGCAATCTTACATAAAGAAGATCATTCCCACGTGCTTGAAATCGTTTATACCATGCTGTCAACTTGCTTAAATCTTTATACTATTAAAGAATTTTAAAAATATTGGAAAATATTAGAAGTATTAGAAAATATAAGAAAAATTTGAGAAAATATTAAAAAGTATTAGAAAATATTTAGATAATTTTAGATTAGATATTTTAAAATTTAGCGAACGTATTTAACGAAAATTACCTGATTTTCCCGATCACCATCAAACGGTCGTCCTATTATATAAATATATTATTATTATGATAAACCAATTTCTTAAACAATTTTCTGTGCAAAATTTTACTTCACTCTAACCTAAATATATGGAAAATACTATTCCCGCCCCAACAAATGCTACTGATAAACTTTTTAATATTAGTATAGCTCTAGGACTTAATGTGTCTGCACTTGATTTTCCACGAGGTCCTTTTGTTTTTTTATGTGTTGTTATATGAGGTGGTTCCGTTGTCAGAGGCTTTGTCGAAGGTGTTGTCGGAGGTGTTGTCGGGGGTGATGTCGAAAAAGTTGTTTGTCTCCTCACATTCAAAAAATATCTTGACCACATACTTTTTTTAAAATTATGAATGTTACGAATGTTATTATGAATGTTATGAATGTTATGAATGTTATTATTATTATTATTATTATTATTATTACTATACTTTTGTAAATTAGATTGCTGAGAACGAAAATGTGTTTTCGTAAATAAATCTCTCCGAGAAAAATTTGCTCTGATCAAAACATTACATTTTGTTCTTGTTTTCTGAACTATAGAAGGATAACAATAATTGCAACGGATTAAAGACGAACTTATCGTAGCTGTTGACTTTGGTGATACTAATAATAATAAACCAGACGACATATTTTCTTTAATTCTATAAATCAAAAAAAAAAATTTTTTTTTTTTTGAATTCTCGAAGACTGAGAGGGACTTGATTATCGCGATTAAAAATTTGAGCTTTGATCTCGTGCGACAATCATACCAAGCAAGTGATAACTGAATAATTTTAATAATCACTTATATATTCTATATATTATCAAATTTAACAATATTTAACAAATGTAGAACAATATGACAATATGATCGAAGATTTCAAAGAACGTTAAAAATAAAACTTAATCAAATAACATTGAATATGTTAAAACATTCATTTATTCAAAATAATAATCCATAATGCGATTCTTCAAAGCGCAACAAATAGAATATAAAAAGATTTTTCATGATCTAATAGTAACCTAGTTACAACAAATCCCTAATATAAAGTCACTCTATTATAAATTTATGCATATAATTTTTTATATTTTTCAGCTTCGGCTTTATAACGCGCTTGATCTTTAAGATAAAGTTCTTCGTACGGCTTGATGAATGAAAGAAAAAGAAAATAAAATCAGTTGAAATGAATTATAATAATTATAATATATTAAGAGAATAATATATTTAACAACAATTATTTTATTACCTTTTTATCTTCAGGTTTCAACTCATTCCATCTTTTTGCAGCTTCCTTACTACGTTCAGTAACTTTAAGATCTCGAAAATCATCCATAACACTAGTTAAAAATAACATGTATGGAGTCTTTGGTTTTTTTGGTGCCTTAGGATCCTTTAAAAGTGAAACTTTCTTGCCCTTTTTTTTACTAAGTAATCTACGACGTCTGTTCTCCAGACGATATTGCTCTGGTGTTAAAGATTCCTGCCAATTTTTAAAATCTATAAGATATTTAGCTTTCGCTTCTTGATATCTTTGATTCCAAATCTATAATAAATAAATAAATAACGTTTAATATTAAATTAAATTTAAATTAAATCAGTGATTTATTTAAATTATTTTATTTACTTCTTTATCATTTTCTGATAAATTCGACCACTTCTCAGCTCCTTGTTTAGAGGCATCACCTAATTTTATATTAGGATTCTTAGCTTTCACTTCTCTGTAGTGAGCAACCATATACAAGACATATGGAGACCCCGGTTTTTTAGGTAATTGGAGTTTGGGAACTAATGATGATGATGATGATATTATGATGTATTATGATGATGATTTGATGATGATTTGATGATGATTAATGAGATATAATTAGATATAATGAATAATATAATGAATAATATAATGGATAATATAACAATGATAAATTATATTAAGAATTATATTAAAAATGATATTATTAACTATTATTATTATTATTAACTAATTTTAAAATAAAAAGATTTCTCCAATAATTACTTGGTTTAGGTTTCTTGACAACCTTAGCTTTAATCTTTTTTTTAGGTGCGACTTTAACGGGCTTCTTTTTTACAGTAACTTTAGGTTTGCTTTTAACACTTTTAACTCCTTTAACACTTCTAACGCCTTTAACAATTTTAACACCTTTTTTAACATTTTTAATACCTTTGGCTGTAGTTTTAGCTTTAACACCTTTCGTTGTAGTTTTAGCTTTGACTTTTGCTGCTGTACCTTTAGTCGTTTTAGTCATTTTAGCAGGAACTTTTTTAACTGTACTTCTTACAGTAGACTTTTTTTTCGGATCAGGTTTTGTTTTTTTCACAGTAGTAGTGGCATATTGACGTAAAAAACCAACTTGCCTTGGAATATGACCAGGGATCTTACTACGAATAGTTGAAATAATTGTTGGATTTACTGGTTTTAATAAATTTACTGGTTTTAATGGTACACGTACTCCACTAAAAATTACTTGTGCAAGTTGACGAAACATTTTTGATAGTTGATTTTTACGTAACGACAGTTATAAAAAAAAATTATTATTTTTTGAATTAATAACAAAAAGGCTGTTTACAATCAGATCATATATATAAGAACAATTTGTGTCACTTGATTTCTTATTTAATAGTTTAATTTATACATAAGTAGTTTGAGTTTATTTATTTATTTATGTTTATTTTTGTGCAATTTTAATTTATTTATTTATTTTTCCGGTTTCTGGGGTAAAAACAGTATTTTTACACACACGCAATAAACAATTTTAGATTTTTTACATAATATAAAATTATTAAAATTAATATCAATATAATAAATAAAATAAATAAATACATTATAATACATTATTATTATGTATTATTATTATGTATTATTATTATGTATTATTATTATTATGTATTATTATTATTATGTATTATTATTACGTATTGTTATTATTTTTTTTTTAAAAAAAAAAAAAAAACGTGGAACCCATATCGTCACTCAGGCCAGGCAAAAAAAAACATATATATATATTTAATATTAAATAATTCATTTTATTTTATCTAAATATATTTGGTAAACAATTTAATTCAAGTGGTTGGACTGGAAATAATTTTTATAGATAACATCAAATAGCTTTTACTTGGATCACTCAATATTACATATATATTTTTTTTTTAATCGAAAATTTGTTACCGATCAATGGTTACGAAAAATTAAAAAAGATAAAGAAGACAACAATAACTTTTTTTTGATAACTACTATTTATGAAATTATAAAATAATGTTGTTCATTCTTCATTGTTGATGATGGTTATTTGACTGTGGCTGTTGTGATTGTAGTTGTGATTGTAATTGATGTGATTGTAATTGTTGTAAATTTAATTTTCGTAATTGTTGTGATATTTGTTGTAACTGTGGTTGCGCTTGTGACTGGAATTGGTGCAATTGTATTTGTGGTTGAAGTAATTGTGGTTGGGGTTGAGGTTGATATTGTAATTGTGGTTGGAGTTGTGGTTGGAGTTGTGGTTGGAGTTGTGGTTGGGGTTGTGGTTGGGGTTGTGGTGGATATTGTAATTGTTGAATTTGTGTCTGCGATTGTGGTAAAGATTGAGATTGTAATTGTTGTATTTGTGATTGCGGTAACGGCTCCGGTTCTGGTTGTGGATACTTCTTTTGAAAATCTCTTTCTCGTTTAAAAAGCAGGATATGAGGTTCAGGACCTATTTTATTTATTTACAGTATAACAAAAAATAAAATAAAAAAATAAAAAACGTAATAATAAAAATAGTAATAATAGTAATTAAACATTCCAAAGATTATCTGTCCTCTATTATTTACTATTAATCATTATTAATCTCATTGTGATGACTAAAATTACATATTTTACTTACTATGAATCATATAATGTTCCCATCCATAAGATTGTACAACTCCAATACTTCGACATTCTTCTTCATTCATTAGATGATCAAGCGGAACATATTGGGCAATTGCTCTTGGCAATGTAACGTGTCTTTGTTTGTGTAAATTTATTGTATAAATTTTTAAAATCATCATTTTTAATCCTTTGACGAAACACAACAACAACATAACGTACAGTATATCAAACAAAACATATTAAGGATGGATGACACGCGTATTCACGAAATATACGCGAATATTACCTGTATTCAAAACATTCGTCTAAATCAACAAATAAATATATAATATTATATTATATTATATTATATTATATTATGTTATATTATATCATATTATATTATATTAAAAGTCGTAAAAGTAATGTTGAACGAACGATTTGAGAATAATCTAAATACCATAATAACGGTCTGAATAATTAATAAATTCTTCATATTTTTGAATATAATACAGTCTCTGTTGTTCATACGTCAATTCCACCAGCTGTTGTTGTTGTTGTGCAACAAAAGCCCTACAAATATATATTATAATTTCTACCATCAGTATCATAATCCTAATTTGTCGTTACGAAGCAACAACAAACACATTTTCTTTATCTTCTTCTAATGCTAACCAATCTATTTGTTGTGGTTGTAATGGTTGCTGTGCTTGTAATGACTCTTGAGATTGTAATGGTTCTTGTGCTTGTAATGGTAACTGTGGTTGTTGCGGCTGTTGCGGTTGTTGATTTCGTTGATTTAATAAATGCATGCTGATGACTGCAATAGACGAAGAGAATGAACGTCGCGTTTTTTGTAGATTGTGTAACTTGACTTTTAATCCGAACTGGGTCTCCTGAATCCCTAATCAGCCTCGTCACCCTTTTTGTTTATTTATTGTTTATATTTATTTCCCTAATCATTTATTTTTGTTGTTTATATTTCTTAAAGCGCGAAATCGTGGCTGATGAAGGTGAATATTTACCTAGGTACTCATCACAAATCTAATATCACTTGAAGATATCACTAAATAAGATTTAAAGAAATATGTATCACAAAGGTTGTGTAAATCTAATAGTAAACCTTTGCTGTTTGATATGATAAAAGATGTCAACTCTACAAATTCTTCATTTCAATGATGTCTACCATTTATCACCACAAAAACGTGAACCTGTTGGCGGTGCAGCTAGATTCGCTAAAGCTATAAAAGACTTTCGACAAAAATATGATATAAAGACTTCCAGTGTGTTATTTAGTGGTGATGTATTTAATCCCTCAGTAGAGAGTAGTATTAGCAAAGGCGCTCACATGGTATTACATATTATTACATATTATATATTTGTGAAATATGATATTTTATATTTTATGGACTATCCGATTTTTTTGTTACCTAATATGCACTAATTAAATGTTTTATATTTCTATGTTAGATTCCGGTTATGAATCAATTTGGTATAGATGTAGCATGTTTTGGTAATCATGATTTTGATTTCGGATTGCCTACACTTAAAAAATTAGTGGATGCTACAACATTTCCTTGGTTACTTTCAAATGTATTGGATAGTGAATCTGGTAACCCGGTTGCGGGTGGAAAAAAAATTTATATCCTTGAGAAAGGAGGATTAAAACTTGGAATTTTGGGATTGGTGGAAAAGTAAGTTAACCGAATTTTTCGAAAATCATTATTCATTTAATTAATAATTAAATTTATATATGGATTAGAGAATGGTTGGAAACAATTCCTGGGTATGGTTATATAAATTTATACCTTTTTAATTTAATTTTTTTTTTGTCTTTTTTGAAAGTATCCTCTAACTTAATTTACTAAAATAACTTATTAAAATAAATAGTCTTCCATCCACACTTCAATATCAGGATTTCTTAAAGGTTGGCAAAGAACTTGCTTCTCAACTACGTGATCCTCCTTATTCAGTTGATTTGGTTATAGCACTTACTCATTCACGTCTACCCAATGATATTTTATTGGCTAAAGAATGTGAAGGTTTAATTGATTTAGTTCTAGGAGGGTAGGTTTTCCCTTGACAAATTATTCTTTTTTATTCTTTTTTTTTTTTTTAATGATATGGTTATTTAAATGAAAATATAATAATCATAATAATTTTCTATAAACCAGCCATGATCACTTTTACTATGCAGGCAAAGGATGTGATATTTCAGGATGGGAGAGAGAAGAAATACAAGGAGCTGAACATGATCATGGTCTAAGGGTGGTCAAAAGTGGAACAGATTTCAGGGAATTGAGTATCTTGGAGATTTTTGTAGAAGATGGAGATAATGTGAACGGTGGTACAAAGAAAATTATTAAAACTTGTTCAGGTAAATTAAATTTGTCTTATTTCTTTATTTTATTTTACATATATTATATTTAAATAAATATTTTTATATTATTTTTGTAGTAACTCGTCAAAAAATAACATCCGAAATAGAAGAAGATCTTGATTTTGCTGAATTAGTAAAATCTGCAACATCTGAGATTTCTTCTAAAATGTCGAAACCTATTGCCCACACCGTGACGCCATGGGATTGCCGTTCCACCATGTTACGTACACAAGAAACCGGGTTTGGAAATTTTGTGGCCGATTTAATGCTTAACGCTTATCAACCATGTCTTCCCTACAATATTGACTGTTCGTTAGTTTGTGGAGGAACCATTCGTTCAGATTCTATATATCCACCAGGTGAAATTACTTTAGGTGATATAATGGAGATATTTCCATTTGAAGATACTGTAGTTGTGATACGTATCACTGGACAACAATTATGGGATGCATTGGAAAGTTCTTTATCCATGGTTCCTAAACAGGAAGGTCGATTCCCGATAGTCAGTGGTCTTAAGGTTGAATACAATCCCAAAGCAGAACCATTTCATCGATTACGTAATGTATGGTTAACTGAACGACGTCCTCCTTCTCCTATAGAAGATTTAGAAAATAAAGAAGATAATCCTAGAAATGATCGTGAACGTGAAGATGAACAAGATGATTCAGAAGATCCAGGACCACATAACATTATTGGAAAATTAGATATGCAAAAAATCTATACTGTATGTACACGGGCATATTTGGCTGCTGGATATGATGGTTTTAAGGCTTTAGCGCAACCCAATACAGAATTCTTGGTGGATGATGAAAATGGAATGTTAATGAGCACATTAATTCGAAAATATTTCTTAGGATTGTATTACATTAGTGCCATAAAGTTCAATATGAGTTGCGAATCTAAGACAGAAGAAGCTGTTCGTAAAGCAGCTTCTCAATGGAAAAAATTAGCAGAGTTAAAACGAGAGAAAGCAGCATACAAACATATTTCTCGCAGGAGCATTACAGATGCATTAGCACGTTCCATGGGTGATGAAGTAAAATTTAATACTGATGATGATGAAATATCACCAATTAAAGAAATAAATGAAGACGAAGGAGAATCCAAGAACAAAGTAGATTTTGTAAAAGATTGGGTTACAGTGGCACCTATGATAGAAGATAGAATTGTCACTGTAGACTTTTAATATCTAGATTTCATTTAGATTTACATTATTATTTATATATTTATTTAATGAATTATTTATATTTTATAAAATATGCAATTTAAAATATCACTATCCATAATATTATTATTACCTCCTGGGAATGAAGCAAATGTCATTTTTTTTCATTTACAAACTTCTTGCAGCAATTGTTTTTACATTACCAATTTCATGATAATAAAAGAATTAATAAATATCTTTATATTCTTGATAAATGTTTATTGAAAGATCTCTTTTAAATGTATTGGAACTATAAATTCTAAAAAATTTTGAAATTTTCTTTAATTGCTGATTATCAATAATAAAATTAATAATTAAAAATTAAAATAATTATTTAACTAATACATTGTAATTCTTTTCTACAACCTTTTGTTAGATCTATATTTGGAATAATAGAAGATAAAAGTAACCTGATTTCCTCAACAATCTAATTTGTTGATTAAATAATGAAAGGAGAGATTTCCTAAAAAAATATTTATTGTTGATATAATCAAGGAAAAGTAAGACTTATATGATATGAAAAAACTCGATCGATATTCTTTATGAAAATAAAAATAAAATCTATTAACGATTTTTTTTTTAGCATGAGAACTTCCACCTGTGTCGGATTTTTCCTCACTATACATATTCATTTATACCAAGGTTTATTTGTTGGGTAAAAAGTAAGACTGAAATTTTTCTAGTGATGGTTTCTTATTGTGTTGTTTGATACAGTTATATTGAGCTAAAAAGTAATTTAACAATACAAATTTTACTTTTGCGAAAATAGACAATATACTTTTGTATAATATTTGGTAAAAATAAAATTTTTGAATATTGTATCTATTATTGCCTATTTTGTTAATATTCGATGTAAGATTGAATTGGGACTGTTATTTTATATATATATATTTTTTTTTTAAAAAAAAAATTATCTGGTTGTTGACAATAAAAAGGAATCCTATTTGAAAGATACATTATTTTGAATATGTAGACCTATAAACATCATATTATTGTACTTTATATTTGAAGACTGTTTATAATTAATCTGCTTTTGTTCGTGATCTTTTTGTTGGTTTTAACAATTAACGGGGGGTTTTTTTTTATCGGTAATATACAGTGGCACTCAAGTATCTACAGATTTTGGAGATCATCATTTCTATACCAAATTTCATAGAAATTAACTTGTTAATTTCTTTTTTTGATATACGATTTCTCTTTAGGAATGACGATTCACCACCTGATCACCCAATGTCGGTCACCCATTTGACAAAAAAATCAGTGTTATTAATTTGATACAAAAAAAAATTAAAAAAATCTCCAAAACTCAAGGATTAAAATGGGTATAGTACTGTTATTGTAAAATTTATTGTCCAGGAGATAGATTTTTTTAAAGGCAAAAAATCATGTGATGCTATACTTTTGAGCATCACTGTAGATTATAAGTATTGTATTTTTTTGTTATTACTCTTCTTGAGATTATTGTTACTGAAATCACTAGAGGATTGAAGAAACATGAAATAGTTACTATGATTTACATAGCATAAAGCATATGTGACCAATTACTATTGAATCAAATGGGAGCAATTTATCTGTGCTTAATATTTACTTCTTATTTATATGTTATACAAATGAAAATAATTGAAATAAATATTATTTTAATTGCTAGTTGTTTTAATATTTTCAATATAATAATATTTTCTAATTGTATCAATTTTGAAGTACTCATTAGAAAGTTCAAGTAAATAATTTCTAATAATCTCAAATTAACTAAGGTAATACTATACCTGTTACTTATCTTTTTGTCCAATAACAACAGCTGCAGCAAATTTATTAACTAATAATGTAACAAGCTTTGTTATAACTTCAGACAAGTCCATCACCTATAAATTAAACTGCGTAACCACAAGCTACTTATCAAATACTATCTTAAACTATATTAGTGACAATATAACAAAAAAGAATGAGACAACTCACTCAACAAACTTATAATCATTTAAACTAGAATATGTACTTTAAGGAGATGAATATACAAAAGATAATACAAATCTCTTATTTGTAGAAGAAAATAATTCACAATGACAACAAGTATTTACTTTGATTGAATTCAAAAATATAGATATAAATGAAAATAATTAAGTAAGTGATTCTAAAACTCGAGAAAACTAGTTAAAATAAAATATGAAATTTAAGAATGATAATTAAATTCAACAAGGTAATAAAAATAATAACAAGAAAAGAAAAATTTCTAAAGAACTTGTGGAAAAATTATCTATTGTACAAATGACTATATCATATTTAATTATATCTGATCTGATGTATACTAAAACAGAAATAACTTTTAAATAATTAATAAATATATCCCTATATAAAAATAAAATAAAAAAGATAACATTTTAAAAAAAATGAGTCTTTAAAACATCAGGAATTTTTATATAAAATTCTATACCATTTTACGAACTTTCTGTTCATATAGCATTCTATATACACCATTCTACAACATTTTACAAATGTTATATTTTAGAATGATCCATTCTACAACGTTCTACGAACGATAAGTACAAATAATGTTATATAACGAATTGTTCTAGTACGTTTTGTGAACTATCAGTATTAATAACATTCTAGAATGATTCATTCTACAACATTCTACGAATGATAAGTATAAATAACATTATATAACAAATAGTTTTAGTACATTTTGCGAACTATCAGTATTAATAATATTTTAGAATAATCTGTTTTAGAATGTATTACGAAGATACATATTAATCCATTATATAACACGAAATAACAGTATTAATAGTTATATAATGGATTGTTCGAGAACTTATACTAGTGTAGTCTGGTATTTTACCAAATGCGAAATTCTATAAATGTAAATAATTTTCATATATAATAATTCTAGAATCTGTATTAGAACATAGAGAATATTTCTAGAATATAAATTTGATTGGTTAAAATTTTGTATATATATTTTATAGCGAAATGAATTTTACATCTTTTTTAATTATTAAAATTTAATATTTAAAAAAAATAATATTTAAATACTTCATACTTATAGCATATTTTTATTTTTCTTAATTTATTAATAAAAACAAAACCTAAAAATATTTTGTTTTATTAAATTTATTTATAATTTTAATAAAATATTCCTAAAGTTTATTTTATATAGAAGAGAATTTTTATTTTAAATACTCAAAAAAAAAATTATATTTTCAATTCTTGTAATAATTGTTTAATTGCTAAATCAGATGCAAACTCATTTTGAAAAAATATTAGAGGATATAATAATGTCTTAGCTTGCACATCATTTGGAGCAAATATTGATCAGAAGTTTCAGGGGCAAGGTGTGTCAAACTTTTGAATTCATGATCAAGTTTATCATCATATTGGTTCATTGTTGCTGAAAGAAGGCTGCTCACCAATGTTTGCTCAATTATATATATATGACATTGAACATGAAAATAAAAATTGACATGTTATAATGAACGAATTAAATGAGATCATTTTACAAAACCTGCAGAATATGCTAGATGAATGCAATCCATATATCCAGAGTTTTCGTCAAGTGAGAGACCTTATCCAAGTAGATCTTACAAATAAAATTTCAATGTTGATTTACAGTGATAGAACAAGAGATTCCTGCTGATATAATATCTCTACAGGATCCGAAATAGCAGCAATTATGATTGGCGATGGTTATAAATTGGAACCTTCAAATCAGGATATTCTTCTAAGATTATAAGATGGAGGGTTTCAGAGAATTTCAGAATTACATCCATCATATGATCCTCTTTATTATGTCTTGCTATTCCCAAGAGATAATGATAGTTGGCATGCAGATATTCTCCTAACAGGAGCTATTAAAAGAGAAAGAGTAACAACAATACAGTTTTACTCTTATAGACTGTAAATTAGAGATGGAGATTAACTATAACATGCTGGCCATTTGTATCAACAATATATTGTTGATCAATATGCTAAAATGGAACAGAACTAATTAAACTTCATTCAACAGAATCAATCATCACTTCGAACTGAATTGTATAATGGAATTGTGGATGCAATCCATGCAAGCGATGGAAGTAATAATGTAGGTCATTGTATAATTCTTCCATCATCATTTATAGGTGAACTACACCATATGTATCAGCTATATCAAGATGCAATAACTATAGTACATCATTTTGAAAAACCCAATCTTTTCGTGACTTTTATATGTAATCCTAATTGGCCCAAAGTTACCAGAAAGTTATTGTCAAACCAGAGGGCTGCAGACAGACCTGATTTAACAGCTTGCATGTTTTATATAAAATTACAGGAGCTGTTGAATGACCTGTGCCATAATCATTAGCTTGGCAGAGTAATTTCTTATGTTTATGTTATAGAATTTCAGAAATGGAGTTTGCCTTATGCGCATATTCTACTAATATTAGCACCTGAAAACAAGTTTAAAACCATTAATGACTATGACTCTATTGTTTCTGCTAAAATTCTGAATCTTGCAACATATTCACTTGCTTATGAGACAGTATCAACCATGATAATACATAGCCCATGTGGAATAATAAATCCAAACTCGCCATATATGAAAGATGACATATGTCAAAAACGTTACCTCAAAAATTTTCAAGAATGCACTTAAGAAAGTAACAATGGATATCCTACTTACCGGAGACAAGATGATGGCCGTTTTGTTGAAGTTAAAGATGGAACTCGGTTAGATAATTGATGAGTTGTACTACATAATATTAGGTTAATTACTAAGTATAATGCCTACATTAATATTGAGATTTGTAGTTCCATAATAGTAGTCAAGTATCTATATAAGTATATTTACAAAGGTCACGATAGAGCCACCATCGAACTGTTCCGATCTTCCAATAAAGATAATCAAATATCAGCTGAATATGAACCAACTGATGAGATTAAAATGTATCTAGATGTATGGTATATTTCAGCATCTGAAAGTATATGAAGAATTTTTTATTACAAGATATATGGTCGTGCTTCAAATATATAAAGATTAGTAGTCCACCTTTCGGAACAACAATATATCACTTTTTGGGATGGAGAAAATCTTTAACAAGTCTTGGAATGTAACACACATCAGACAACACTAACAACTTGGTTTCAGGAAAATATGAATAATACCACAGCACGTATATACACATATATCAACTTTCCTACTCATTATACTTGAGATGCTTCTTGGTGCAAGTGGAAACTTCAGAAAACATCGACAAATGTGATCGGAAGACTTTACATAGTACAACTGTCAGAAGGAAAAAGATATTATTTGCGAACTTTGCTGACCTGTGTGAAAAGAGCAACAAGTTTTAATAGTTTGAAAATCGTTGATAGTTATCAGTGTAGTAGTTTTAAAGAGGCTTGCATTTGTTTGGGTCTTCTCCAGAATGATGCTGAGTGGAATGCATATTTACTTGAGACAAGTGAAATAAAAGCGGGACAACAATTGTGATATCTTTTTGTAACAATTCTTCTTTTTTGCCAACCAAATTGTTCTGAAACATTATGGAATAATCATAAAGCAACACTATGTGAAGATATTTTGTATCGAGATCATGAGCTAGGAAAAAATAGAAATAGTATAATAAGTGATGAAATTGAATGGAAGGCACTTAGTCAATTAGAAAAATATCTATATTAAATGGAACATCACTAAAAAACTTTCCTAACATGTCACTTCCTCCAGAAAGAATATTGAATTCCAATCATAGCAATGAAGATTTCGATCAATTAATTTGGAAAGAGAGATCCTATAATATTACTTGACTAGAAGATAACCTGCGCCAAAACGTTTCTCTATTGAATAAAGATCAACATGTAATATATAATGCTGTAATATAGGCAATTGAAGTGGTGATGGGTATTTCTTTATAGACAAGCCAGGTAGAACTGAAAAAATATTTTTGTATAATGTCCTCCTGGCATATATAAGATCACTTGGAGAAATTACTGTAGTAGTGGCATCTTCTGGCATTGCTGCATTATTAATAAGTGGTGGTCGAACTGTGCATAGCTAATTTAAAATTCCACTGAAAATAAATGAATCTTCAACATGCAACATTTCACGAAGAAGTAAAGAGGCACGTTTAATTAATACAGCAAAATTTTTTATTTGAGATGAAACTCCAATAACAAATAAATTTCCATTTGAAGCTGTTGACTATATCTTTTGTGACATTACTCAAGTTGATAAATCATTTGGAGTGAAGGTCTTTGTTTTTGGAGATGATTTTTGCCAAGTACTTCCTGTTGTGCCATGTGGATCTCGCGCTGATGTTGTTTCTACAAGCTTATGTTATTCATTATTATGGGGTCATATAAAAGTAATGAAATTATCCATTAATATGAGGCTTCGTCAGACTGATAATACCTATGAGAATCAAAAATAAAAGCAATTTGTCGAATTTCTTTTAAAAATTGGAGAAGGGGTGTATCTAATTATTCCAGGTACACAAGACATGATAGAACTTCCTTCAGACATAGTGATACCTGGAAAGCAATTATCTGATCTTATTGATTTTGTTTATTCAAACTTGATCGAAAATTCTAGAGATGTAAATTATATGATTAGTCAAGTAATTTTAATATACATGTCGTCAAAACTATTAAATTGAGTCAGACACAATTAAAATTAGGAAAAATTGGAATTGAGTCAAAGAGCCCTTTTTTTTAACAATGACGCAAGACGCAATTTTTGATGCAAGACACAACTATTGACACAAGGCGCAATTATTGACGCATGACGCAATTGTTGACACAAGACACAATTATTGACGCAAGACGCAATTATTTATATAGACGCAATAGGTTTTCATAAGTCACAAAGGATCTATAAACTTTTGATTTCTAAAAAAATTAAAAAATTTTTTTTTAACCAGGTCTCAATTTTAATCTCTAAAAATTTTGCAAAAATAAGTAAATAAATTTATGACTTATAATTAA